CCGTTCCCGAGCTGGGGTTTGATTCGCCTCGAGGCTGATGTGTCCATGACATACTTCTAAGCCACCAACCCCCATTGTAAACACACACAGAATCCCCAAAACTGTATTGGTGCCCCCGAGGTGAGGAAGACATGACACGCTCAGCGTTGTTCGAGAAGCTCGCACTACACGCGCCTCATTTGTCGGGCAGGCATGTGATACCCGCTTTGCCAGCTTTTATCTATGGCACAGCTTGGAAGAAGGGAGCGACATCCGATCTCGTCTATCAAGCACTGTCCAACGGGTTTACAGCAGTTGATACCGCTGCACAACCGAAACATTATCGGGAAGATCTCGTCGCTGCCGGCATCCACCGGGCGATCAAAGACGGCAAGGTCAAGCGGTCCGAGGTGTACATTCAGACCAAATTCACCAGCGTTGGAGGTCAAGACCCGGACAACATGCCATTCGATTCCAAAAGCCCGCTGGCAGAGCAAGTGAAAGCCTCGGTCATATCATCTCTCCAGAATTTCAACTTTGCAGACATTGTTGCCGAAGGTGAAGCACAATACATTGACACACTTGTCCTCCATTCGCCCATGTCGACGCTGAACGAGACGTTGGAAGTCTGGGAAACACTGGAGCAGTTTGTGCCCGGCGAGATCAGGAATCTAGGAATCTCGAACTGTAATCTGTTTACTCTCATGGACCTCTATGAGCGCGCTCGGATCAAGCCGACGGTGGTGCAGAACCGCTTCTACCCCAATACGAAATTTGATATTGGAGTACGACAGTTCTGTAAGGAGAAGAGTATCGTGTATCAGAGCTTCTGGACTTTATCTGCTAACCCGGGTCTGGTGGGGTCAAATGAGACTAGGTCACTGGCAAACCAGCTGGGCATCAGTCCGCAATCAGCTCTATACTGTCTGGTCCTTGGATTGGGCAACGTCACTATTCTCAATGGCACAAAGAGTGTTCAGCATATGCAGGAAGATTGGAACGCTGTGAGAATCGTGCAGGAGTTTGCCCTGTCGCATCCCGAGCAATGGGATACGGCTGTGGCAAGCTTCAGGAAACTCATCGGACAGCCCAAGCCTTGAGGTCCTGGGAGCCAGTTGTAGTGGCAGAAGAGAGAAGCCCGCTATGTATTCGGGATGCGTGTGCGTACTCCTTGGTCTGTGTCTTGAACTGCCACGACTGCGAAAATCTTGAACTTGCCACAGTGGTGATTGTAGCCCACCGCAGCACTCTTGGGACAACGGCGGAGCAAGTCTTGGTCTTACGTGAGTCACGGGACGCCATCTTACGATGCGTGTGCTGTGTATGTCATCGGCTGCACAGTACAGATGCAGACCAGATTCGGAACTCCATCCACCATCATTGAATTGACGCCTTCCAATTGTAGTATCTTGTGTATGTCACGCCACTTCTACATGATCTATCAGAGCAAAGACTTTCCCATGCCATCTAAAGGACAAGTTGGCGACAATTGAAGCCTGTTTATTCAATTTTTCGGATATCTTCGGCGATCAATCATTTCCCCAACATTGCAGCCCACCTTCCGCCAAATCTGTGATCCTGCACCTGCGTGCGGCGCGGTCGCAATATACCGGTATATACGTTAGCATCGTCGTCGACGACTAAGCGGCATCAGCACCAGCACCAGCCGCACCAGCCGCACAAGGCGCACGAGCCTGTGACTGCCTGTCCACGTCCCTCTGTTCGCCGAGCCGCTGCGTCTTCAAAATCGAACCCACGATCACAATTTCGAACGCAAACTTCTGACTTGCTGTACCTTGACATCTGCCTTCAGCAACATGGCATCGCAGGGCTTCTCGAGGAAGCGCCCTGCTCCCGGCGCCGATCCTATGCCGTATCCTACACAAATGCAGAGTTCCGCACCAGCAATTAACGACGGCCTGGGACAGCAGCTCTCCAATGACCAGTTCCTTCAGTGGGGTCAAACCGGTCAGCCTGCCACGGTGCCATCCTACAATGACAACAGCTATGCCATGAACGCGAGTCTGTTCCCTCAGAACAACCCTCAGAATAATCCCCAGAACGTACCTCAGCCGTCGAACCAACTTACCCGGAGACCCGCGGCACAACTTAGCTCCCGGATACCACAGCCGAACCAGGATGCAAAGGCTTGGATGGACACCGCAGATAGCGGAATTAATCCTACAGATGGCGCCTGGGGAGATGACCTAGCCGAGTTAGAAGCAAGAGCACAGATTGCGAAGAGGGAGGCACAAGCAAAGAGAAAACAAATCCCGCCTTTTGTGCAGAAGCTCAACAGGTGAGGTGCCACAGTCCCCCAGAGACAAGACACACGCTAACGAGTTTGCCAGCTTCCTGGAAGATGGCAGAAACACCGACCTCATCCGCTGGTCAGACGATGGCAACTCCTTCATTGTCCTCGATGAGGATGAATTTGCCAAAAAGCTTATCCCCGAGTTATTCAAGCACAATAATTATGCCTCGTTCGTGCGTCAGCTCAACATGTATGGCTTCCATAAGAAGGTCGGGCTGTCAGACAACTCGATGAGAGCAAGCGAGAAGAAGAACAAGAGTCCAAGTGAATACTCGAACCCGTACTTCCGACGAGGCCATCCCGACCTGCTGTGGCTGATTCAGAAGCCCAAGAACGTCAGCGGGCCGGCATCGAAGCGCAAGGGGAAGAACGAAAACGAGCAGGTCGACGATGAGCTCGACGACTATGTCGAGGATGCAACGCTGACCGACAATCGCGTCCGTACCCGACCCGGACCGTTGGCCATTGGCGGCGTCGAGATGGCCCTTACCCAGGAACAATTCAAGAGCGTGCAACGCGAATTGGCTGCGATTAGACATCAGCAGAGCCATATCTCCCGTATGATGCAGCAATTGAAGCGCGAGCATGAACAACTCTACGGACAAGCCGCCACCTTCCAGGATCAGCACAACCGCCACGAGAACTCCATCAACGCTATCCTAACCTTCCTCGCCACCGTCTACAACCGGTCGCTTCAAAGTCACGACAACGTCCAAGGCATCACAAGTCTCTTTCAGAACGCGATGCCCGTCGACACGTCCACGTCAGGATCGGTCGTGGATGTTGGCGATTACACCTTCAACGACATCAACATCGATGGCAGCCCAGGGAAGCCGTTTAAGCGACAGCCTCTGCTCCTGACCAACGGAACTGGTGCCGGCTCCCAACAAGGTGGTCGCGCAAGTACCCTGTCCCCGCGCACGACGGCCAGTTCTCCCTACCCACCTCGCGCTCAGCCCGTCCGCCCGGCCAAGCAACCCTCCGTCCTGTCTCCGCAAGTGGAAGAGGTCTTCGACCCCGGCGTAAACAGCCCGAACAACAACATCCCCCCCTCTGCAAGCACCCAATCTCGCGCAAGTGTATCCGACTTGCCCTCCAGAGACATGATGTCCATGATCCAGTCCGCCAACGCTCGCAACACCACTTCGGCCACCTCCCCCACGACCCCAGCCCAAGACTTCTCCTCGGTCCTCAACTCACTGCAAAACTCCTCTAGCACGGGACCTCTCACCAACACCCAGCGTGCTGACGTGCTCCGCCTGATCAACAACTCCTCCGGCAGCGCACCCGGCTCAGACAACGCGCTTATCAACGCCACTCCACCGCCTGGTCCAGCTAACTTCCATCGTCGCCTCGCATCTACGCAGGCAGACCTCGACCAGTTGGCAAAACTACAGGAGCAGCAGGACAAGAGCGTGCAGAACCTCACCAACCTACTCCAGCCTCTCTCTCCGACGGGCAGCATCCCCGGCATCCACGACAGTCAGCAACTGCCGCCACCACCATTGGACGTCGATGATTTCCTCAACCAGATCGAATACTTCGCCGATTTCCCAAGCGAGGGAAGTGGCAACTACGACTTTGGGAACACAGGCCTCGGCGGCAACCAGCAGGGTGGTGACGGCTTGAAATTTGCCGACTACAAAGACGACGACGAGTTGTTTGCGAACTTGGACAACAACGGCCCGGCTGCGGGGTTCGGGTTCGACGGCACCGATGACGCCTCACAAGGTCAATACGCAGGAAACCCGGGAGGCACCAAAATCGAGGGCATCGACGCGTTTGACGAGCACGACGGTGGGGGACGCGTTGAGAGCGTGCCGAGCAGTGAAGTCACGACGCCTAAGAGCGAAGCCGATAGGAAGAGCAGTTCCGGAGCGAGCGTCGTGGCCAACGCGGCCGCGGCAAACAGAGCCAAGGGCCGCAAGTTGAGCAACAACGAGGAAACCAGCGGGAGGAAGAGAGCCAAGGCTTGACCACCTCATCTCCGTCTGATCTCATGTTGTCAAAAAGCCCATCGCCCACGATGGAAGTGCTGCGAAAGGGATAGCTTCATCTGTCGAGAGTGGAGGTAATGAAGTTGATGCGCTGCGCAAGGACAGGCGATCTTAATGCAACGATGTCGTCCAAGGTCTCACACGAAGAACACTCCGAAATGATTGGCCTCGTCTTCCCACGTTTGAATATGTGGGCTGACATCGAGATCGGTTGTTCCGCGCATAGCGAATCACAGACAGGACCGGGAGTGAATGTGATTGTGATTGACGTGAAATGAAACGAAAAGAAAAGAAAACCCCTCTAGATACCCAGTCAGAAATGCGCCGCATCGCGCCGCCACAGTGTATCCTGTGTGCTCCATGTGCGCCAGTGCGCGAAATGAAAAAGTCTACTTTGAGATTCCCGGACTCCCTACAGTACTACTGAATTTGTCATGACCTGTACCCTGTATTGATTGCGATCGTCTCGCCTGGGGTCTGCTCACTGAGCATGACATGACACACGTATGGTTGTATCTGTGCGTACACGTGCGGGAGAAGGAAAGTAGGGGGTTTTGCCATTCGCCTGAGTCGTCGCCGCCAGCTATCCCTTACTCGAGTTGAGTCCGAGGACGGTTGCTCTACGACAAAGATCTATGTAGCTGTATGGGCCATCTTCTTCTTCTTCATCATCATCATTATCTCCCGAGGCCTCCCACAAGTCGCGTGCCCTACTCCCTCTTCTTCAGCCTGGGGAAACTCAACCACAACCCGAGCAGGACTACCAACAGCGCCAGGATGATCGGCTGCAGCACTTTGACGCCCTGGCTGCTTGCGATCGCGCCGATGGCAAATGGAAACACGGTCCCGCCCGTGCCACCGATGGCCATGGCAAACCCAATCGCACTCACGTGGATATGCTTGGGGAGTAATTTCGCCGCCATCATCACGCAGCCCGGGAACATGGGGCCCAGGAAGAAGCCGAGAAAAGCGACGGCGACGGCCGAGACGATGAATTTCGGCACGAGCCAGAAGACGAGTTGCAGCGCCAGACACAGGGCGAGGTAGATGGAGATGCAGATCCGCTCGCCAAAGCGTTCTGTGACAAAACCCAGCGTCGCGCGGCCGAGAGCCATTCCCGCCCAGAACCCGGTGCCGGAGTAGCCTGACGCCGAGGGCGAGGCGGAACGGACGCGAAGCATGAACGTCACGATCCATCCGCCGAGGCCGACTGTTTTTGGAAAAACGGGTGTGTATGTCAGAAAACGGACCGGACCACACAAGTGTTTGGAATGGAGTGAAGTATGTGAATGGAGTGGACTGTGGGAATGGAATGGACGCTAGTGCTTGCCTTCAACGCCCATGTACGTGAAAAAGAAGAGTGAGCAGATCCAGGTGATTTTGGACTTGAGCGCCTCTCTCGTGCGGCCGCCCTTGGCTTCGGTTTCCCCCCGGGGGTGCTCGAGACGGTAGACCTCGCCCGTCTTGCGCCAGAAGGTCGCGGTGAGACCGATGAACTCGAGAACGGAGGCGCCGGCCTGTGTCCAGATATGAAACGAGTTAGTTCGGAAACTCCTCTCATCGCGGTTCAGGGCGTGGGCCTTGGCGACTTGCTTGGGGAGGAGCACATGAATTTACCATGACATAGTAAAAGGTATACCAAGGCAGCTTCGCGTGGACCACCATACTCGTGGCAATCAGCGGCGCGAACAATGCTCCCAGCGAATAGCAAGAATGTAAACATCCTTGCACGGCGTTGGCTTTATCCATGACTCCGATCCAGGCACAAAAACACGCGTCTGTCAGTCCGTTGCCGAAGCCCGAGATTGTATTGCTAATGACGAGCACAGGGAAGGGCGGATGTGCCGACAGGATCGCGTACGTGATGATATGGCACAGCGGAGCCAGGATGACGATCCCCCGTTGGCCGAGGCGGCTGTGGATGGAGGCATTTGTAAAGGCCGCGAGCGAGTAGCCTGCAAAAGGCGTGAGGAAGATCAACGACACAGTCGTGTAAGAGAGGTCGTAGTATGTCTCGAGCTGTCACATCACGCTTGTGAGTCAACGCATGTCACATACAGTACCCGCCCGCCAGCTGGGATGAAGAAATCAACGCACATAGGGGATCAACGCCTATAAACAAAACCATATTAGCACGCCTGCACTTGGTGGCCCGGGATGTCGGATTCTGCGTACGCCAACAGCCCCGTCATTCAATCCAGTGACAATAAACGAGAAGAAGGAAAATCCGAGTCTGGCGATATTTCCCCTTGGTTCGTTCCATCGCTGGACGACGGGCTGAGCATCTGTGGGCGGGTCGAGTTCCTCGCGAATCGTGTCCTCCTCGTGTGATGAGGCACGTCCCGGCGACGGAGCGGATGTCGCACCATGGACGACTCGTCGTGATAGTTCTCGAAGTGACCTCCCCGGCGCTTTCAGGCTCAGCTCGAACGTCTCGGGAGGCGAAGGGCCGGGAGGTTGGATTTCTTGCGCGGGCGACAACGTCATTGTTTGTGTCTGTGTCTTGGTCATGGCGAGCGAGCACCTAATCAGCGAAGGTTGGCTCAATGATGGATACGGACAAGTAGAGGTGATGCGAGCAGAAGCTAGAGTCAATATTGTGTGAGCGTATTACTGCTGATGCGTACAGGTGGTCATGCGAAGTACATCACTACACTGCACCAATGCGGCAGAAATCGTGTTAGTAAAAAATCGTCCGACTTCTTCTGATCAGGAAATGGCGCCGCATGCATAGACGTCGGACAGCGGCTCCAACCCGACTGCATTTGGGCATCGTGGCCCGTCTGCAGTATGACGAGGGATAGAATTGTCAAAAGGCGGTCGGAGCAGCTTGTTCGCTGATGTCCGAACTGCAGTCCAGAGATCGAATGGAGATCGACAGCGGAGTGTCGGGACGAGCGCCGAGCTTGCGCGAACGGGAGCCCTATCATTTTTATATACAGAGCTGAGCTCCTCACGGTTAATGTTGTTTACAGATATCTGCATCTCGTGCATGCACTGGCGTTACCAGAGTGAGGCACTGACAACCCTGAGACAGCCGCGATGGTTTACCCCTCCAGCTATAAGGCCGTTTACTACTGTGGACGATTCAGCAAACCCCTTCTCACCGCCTACTGATGCTTCGTCTTCGGCTTCCTGCTGACCGTTGAAACGCGGTACTTGTGCAAGACGATATCCATCGCCGCGAAGCGGTCGAGTGCTGTTTCCACACTTGATTCGGTGAGTGGCTGATCGCTGCTACAGTGAGGTAGACTGTTGGAAGTCTGCCTGATCTGCTGCTACTTTCCATCCGTCTCAAGCTCGAAGCAAGGAAACCCATGCAAACCCCACGTCAAAGTCGGATTTCTCTTCTCTGCGCAGTGTGCATGCACTCGGTAAACCAAGTACAGCACTTTGATTCTCGAGAGGTGCGTAATCATCATTCTTTGTTTTCCACCTGTTACGATGTACGACTTGTGCCACTCCTTGGTAGAGTCAGCTCGTGGAAAGAGAACGGGGAAATGGAGGGAGGAGAGAAGATATTTTATCTATCTCTGCGCCCTACCAGATGACTCATGTAGCGAAGAGCGAAGGAATTTTTGGTCCAGATGGCTGGTAACCAACCACGACTTTGTAGATCTTCCGTACCAAGTACCTCTCGAAGTTTATCTGTAGAGTCGTCTGGGAAATTCGCCGCGGTTCACGCGGTCGTTGGGGCTTCTTCAAATTCCACACAACGCTCCCGAGATTCCTGCTGACTTGCCAACGCGGCAAGACATTGGGGCGACGGATGAAGTCCTCTGTGGACTTGGGGGCCGAAAGATTGTCCGTGTTGGTGAGAAATTCATTATCAAGTATGGACAAATTAACCAAATCGAGGCGCGAGCAATGATATTCATTCGTCAATCAACCTCGGTGCCAATCCTGTACGTCATTTATCGATCAATTGAGGATGGATTACTCTACATTGTGATGGAGTAATATTCGACGTGGAAATTTACTGTCACTCTGGCCAGTCCTGTCTACGATACAGAGAAGCACTATCTGCCAGGGGCTGGAAGAGTGTTGAGCCGAGTTACGCAAAATCCCTTCATCCAATTATTTCGGAAGACCGGGGAGGACAGCTATGCCGGATAGGATCTTCTGGACCAGTGAAGGTGATGAAGCGGACCCTGCTGCCAATGGACCTTTCGAAACAGAGGAGGCTCTCAATAACGCGTTAGCTGAGAAGGCCACAATACTCAGCGGTGAATCCTGGCCTCTCCAGAATACATTTCGTTTTCACAGCTGAGCATCCCGCCGTCTGGGTACCTTTGACTATAACACCGCTTACAGAGAGGGTCTATTTGGACCTCCTCGCCATGATTTGGGTAGCATGTACCACAGGGAAGAGATTGATTCGCGGCCATGAGTCACCACGCGAGTCAGGACCATAGTTCGGTGGCTATTGTTTTAAGCCAGGGGTACTCTACTGTACAACGATCTATGATGGATTCCAGATGGTCTGGGCCAGTCATCATCAAAACGAAATGGCCAGGAGGCGGCGCAGTATCCCTAGTAGCTTGGATACCATCCAGCCTTTTCGGAAATAGATCAATACAACATCGCAGTTCGCTTCTGGGATGGCTTGGTCGTAACTTGCCGATCGTGCACATATTACTGACATTTCTGGCGATCTAATGATGATATTTTTTGCGCTGGAAGTCGCTGCGAGTGAATACAGGATGGTGATTTCAAAGGAATTTCTGCAAGTAGCGACGATAAAACTTTGGATCGGAACGTTCCAAGAGTGCTGAACAAGTCAATTACCTTGGTGTCCAGACGATAGATGACTCGGCCAACTCTTGACTACCATCACTTTGCCGTCATGCCTTCACATAGCCAATACTGGCGAAGTGGCAAGCTGCAAAGAAGACTAACAGCTGGTGTTGTATCAGTGGTTCAGCTGCACAGTGAATGATCGGTCGATCCTGGAACATAACTCGCAGCGCTTTGGATATGCTGTGTCTGGACACCTTCAGTGTCACCAGTGGGCACATGAGATGTACTGACGCCGAACTGGGCTCACAGATGTCACTGCAGCCCCTTCGCATAACGACGCCGTATGCCCGTCCTCGACATCGTAACCAAGTCACAATTCACAACAAAATGGACCACGGGTTCTGCTCTCACCCGGCATCAAATGACCTTCTTGCGATAGCAAGAAATGTTCTATATAAGCCTCAACTGGCACTCTTCTGTCGACCGTGTTGCCAGGATTTAAAATCAACATATTCGACAGTGGGAAACTGCGACACTCACACCAACATCAAGCAAAGAAAACGCTGTCTAAAGCCACGCTACGACAACAAGCACATCCCTTTTGCGACCTTGGCGAGAAAGCGTTCTAAACCAACAACTGCCGCTCCTGATGCCTTACTACTTCAACCCCCCTGGCCGTTACATCCGTAGCACTCCCGGTGTCTATAGCCGATGGTGGGATGATGACCGCTACTTCCGGGACAGTCGCAATTTCGAAGCCAGAAGAAACTACAACTACTCAAGATCACGGGCCGCGTACGGTGGTGACTTGGATCTCCCGTCGTATGGCTCAGGTGGTTATGGAGGAGGTAGGAGCACATACTCGCATCGGCCATGGGGCGGGAGGTCTCGGAGCCGTTGGAATTGGTAATTCGGGGGAATACATGCAGATAATGAGACTCACAGAGTGGATGATGTGGCCATCTCCATTGTCACAACATGTCACGGATGGGTTCTGTCCCGGACCCGGCATTATGTATGTCTAGTTTCTATCGTTGGTTATTTGGTCGGTGCTGAAGCTGCGTGCTCGGCCCTTGCGGCGCAGCCTCTTGCTTGGCAGGGGTGACAGCCTTGCTATCACGTTTTACGCAGGAACATGAGCAGTGCTCATAGGCAAGTGACAGAACAAACATTGGACAGTGAGATTCTAAACACAGTGGCCATAAACTATGCAGAGACGTAGTGACGGCCACCGGGAGTGAGGCTTGGTTCGAGTGCAATTGCAACCGTGACATGTGAGCACCCAAAAGACAAAGGGTGCAGAGCCTGGTTGGCTCAACCAAGTGACTTCAAACACACAGAGGAGATACAATGCCATCAAACAACTGTACAAACGTCCAAAGTGACGAGGTTTCGAGGCCTGGGAAGGGTATATAAGTCTCGATCTGCCCTCCCTTTGCCGAGCTGCCTTGCTTACCATACAAATCAGAATCGAACTCGATACGAAAGCAAGCAAAGACGACCAACTCTCAGAATAAATACAAATGCGATTGTATCTCTTCCGCTCTCCAAAACTCCACTACTACAAGTAACCACTCTGACAATGTCCGCCAACCCTCCACGCAACGCAGGCTCGTATCGTCCATCCATTTATTCCCCTCCCGCGACCTCAACCTCCAGAGAGCAGCCCACTCAGGGGATCAAGGAGCAAATGTCCCGAGACAAAAACTACGAGGCGGATAAACGTCGGTTCGAGTCCCTGCCTAATGTCAATGTGTCACGGTCTCTGCAGACAGAGGGGAACCTGGAACGACGGGATCCGTGAGCGCGTAGTCTGGGTGAGAGACGAGTCTCAAAGCTGGGTCTGGGAGTAGGGCCATATGGACCTGCTGATCCGGTATGAGGGACGGAGACGACATAGGACGGATGGAGCCAGGGAGAAAGGGTGGGAGGGATGCTAGTGCTCAGTGTTGGGTGCTGACTGAGTGCTAGGCGATCAACGCTGGTAGTTCCAGGTTGCTGTTCAGCAATAGATCCTCCGGTTTAGAGCTTGTACGGGATCTTGGAGATGTATCAGCATGTATGTAAACAGTAGAAAATCGTCGTACACAGCTGGGAGCCTAACGTGCCTGCGATGTACATGTACCTGTATTCTTGTCCGTAAACGCGACAAAACGATACAGCAGAGTATTGGATTAAATGTGTCCCTGAGAACACACGCTGACATGGATAATCAGGCAAGAGGGAAGAGTGATGCTGGAACGCTAAGTTCCGAAGTGAGAAACTAGAACGTATCGAGTGGCAACACAGTACACTGTAGCGTCGTACGCTGGTGACAGGAATTTCGAAAGTCGAGGCTATATATTCGTCCCTAATTGCCAGATAAGGAGTCTTTCCTCTTCGAAGTCTCATTCAAGAAAGTTAGAAAAGTTACAGTATCTATACGCACAAAGAACGAACCTGGGTCTAATCAAAACGCCGTCGATCTGATCGCCTTAATCAAAGAGAAGCCACACGCTACACCATATGTAGTGTTACAACACACCACACAATATTACAACAAACACCTTACACCCTAATCCTAACAATCGATCCACACTCCTCTCTACCGAGAGCCTCCAAATGCCTTACTACTACCCCATCGAGTGGCGACGAGGCTGACTCGAGGATAAGTCTAGCATCCAGGATCCTTGGTCTAGGGGCCGTGACCGCTTTCAGCCATTACCCAGCGGCCGCGACGCGAGGACTTGGGATGCTTATCACAGTTACAGCACAGAGTATCCATATCGACGCAGAAATCGTAGACGTCGTTGGCCACCTCAGCCAGTAATTTTCTAGTGGTCATCATGAGCATGTGGTTCACATATCACAGGCATGATTTAACATTTTGGCTGTGTTGTTGCTTCAAATAGCTGTCGGTTGACTGGGCAGTTGCAGCGGTTGATCTCAGTGTAGCGACGTTGCTCTCTGGAAAGTAAAGAACGTTTACTGGCGAAAACACGGCAAGGTGTGTTAGTCTGTCAAGCGTCAGGGTTTGCATAGGACATGGGCGAGGGCATGATGCTTAAATAGCTGCGAGTCATGACTAGGTCCAGGCACTCACTTGTCTTACGTAGCTCCTCATCTGATCCCCCTTACAGGCCAGGGTCTTTGTGAATTACTATCCTCGACAAGCCTCGCCACCGAAAGACCCACCACTACAGTGCCATATCTGATGGTTCACTGTTTTAAGGAACATCACCGCAGATCAGCGAGGCAATCGTGTATTCCCATCCAGGTGACAAACAGAGAGGAGACATAAAACGAGGAGACATCCCTCAGTCGCAGTCTCTACCTTCCAAGCACAGCTCATCACTAGCGTCAACAATTCAGCAGCCAGACACTTTTGTATAATACATACTATGTATCAAACGTAATCTGGGGACGACTCGGTTATATACACGTGGTAACCGGTGGCTTGCACAAGAAGAGTCGCCTCTAAGGTGATCCTCAAGCTGATGCTGATGGCAAAGCAACATCTGCAATTGACGTACAGACCAAACTGAGAGAAGAGAAGTGATACATCCCACAACGCTGTGGATTCAAACGCCCTCAAGGAACAAATTGCAGACCCTTTGCTCCATGTGCATATTCTTTTCCTTTCTATTTTGCATCGAAAACAACCCGACAGACTGACCCTCAGGAACAGAAAGTCCAACTCAGCCAAATACGTAACCACAAGGTCAACTTGATCCCCTAGACGACGTAACTCCAAAGTATATATCCATTGATATACCTTCGTCGCGGACCAGCAAAATGTCCATTTACCGTCCTATAGGAGATCCGGACACCTGGCTCGTCTCCACCTCCCGAGACCGAGACCGATGGTCCAGAGACAACTGCTTCAATCGAGACAGTCGAATTCGGGATTCGATGCCAAACCGGGCCATCTCGAGACCTTTACACCCACACGATTACACAAGCAGGAGAGGCACCCGTAACTCGCGATATGGCGAGTTCTGGCCATATAAAGACTTTGCGCCGTTACAAAGTAGATATGGAGGGTTGCACTATCCCCGCCCCAGTCGGAGAGAGAGTCGATACTGGACTTCGATGCCAAACCGCAACACCTCGAGATCTTTGTACCCGGACGATGCCACGAGCAGAAGCCTTCCTTCTATACAGCGGTACAGTGACTTCGGGCCGTATGGAGAGTTTAGGCCATCTTAGGCAGTCAATGGAAAATTCGAGCGGTCTATGGTGGTGGTGGTGCTGTAATAACTTGCAGACGTCCACTGAGGGAAGACAGAATGTGCTTATGCAGACTGAGACAGCATCATGTGCTGGTTACTGTAATGAGCTCTGAGCTGTGCGGAAGTCATTGAAGTCATATGTGCCGTACAATTCCGTAAAGGAAAGGGATGATTTGAAGTCGTGCAGGCCGATGTGGGAAGGCTAAAATAAGCACAGGCTCAACAGAGTAATACATACACGACACCACGATTTAGCATGTCAGGAGAGTGTGGTCCTTGTAAGCGGGTGTGGTAGTGCTGGGGGAGGATCTGTCGATAAATGCAAGATGTGCTGCTCTAGGAAGTGACGTGCCATGTCGGATACCCTGGTGAACGCGTACGTACTTGCTTTTCGTCAGTGTCCTTGTGTTTCGGTCACGCAGAGGCTCTATTCCATTCTCGGGGAACACTACCATCGAAGGCATAGAGCAAAGAAGCTATAAATCGTAGCAATGTGGTGCAGCCTGGAGCTCAGCTACCTCTCCAGCCCCTTGACTCTCAGCCTTGTTCGGCTGGCGCTTGAGTGACGCACAAATTCAAGCCAGTGGGAAGAAAGGCATGCAATCAAGGGAGGACTGCCCGCAAGTCCAATGGGCCAATAAAGTTATTCGTTCATGGACCCCTCTACAGAGTACGGAGTACTGGGTTCCAATTGTTTTCTCCTCCCGACGGCATTCTTCTCCGCGTGCTTGAAAGCGGAAGCCTGTCTGTCTATCCCATCTTTTTCTCGCTTGGTTCTATTCTCCTCTTGAAGATCGAGACGAAAATTCCATTTGAAGCGACATACTGGTGAGGTAAGGTGTGGTTTTCGGAAAGCCAGCGTGCAGGAGAGATACAGCGCGAGGATGGGCGTGTCGGAGAAGTTGCAGTAGATTGCAGGCTTTTGCAGACATCATCTGCTCTACGGGGTATATCTCACGACACGACTTGCAATTTGAAGGACTCAGACTTGCTTGGACAGGAATATGCGCCGACTTGAGCTGCCACCTTGTCCCGCGAACACGAAGCATCAAACCGGTAATGGCGTCGATGAAGGGGTGCTGCTTCACCTGTTGTCGATGAAAACGAGTTGATCTCGGGAGCAGAGTTTGAAAACCAGCTAACAAGGTAGCTGCTCTGCGCTTAAATTTGGAAAAGTTGATTGGGGATTGGACACTGCTGAGACACATGCTCCGCGTGTCAGTTTCCACAAGATCAGAGAGTCGGACGTTCACTGTCACGGCTGGTCTCACTGGCGCACCGACCATTTAGCAATAGGGACCCATTTTCCTCTCTCCTCTTGGTGCTACGCTATGCTATGCTTTCCCCTGTCGCGCTGCGCGAAATATCAATCGTCCCCAAAGCGGCGCTTCCCCGGCCTCGACCTCGAGGGGGTTTCGAAACCGAAGTTCGTGGCCACGTCGTCGCTACTTCAACGTCACTGGATCTCCCCATTTTCCTCAGTCGCTACCTCCTCGTGGGGTTCACAACTCGCGCAGCTGTCGAACTCGACGCGGGCTTCGACGAACCAGTCGTGCTTGCCACACTAGTAGTACTCGTAGAGCCCCCACTGCCTCCTCCTCCTCCGCCATTCTGTTTCTGCACCGACGCCTGCACGACCTGCCCTGCGGTGTTGAAGACAATATCCACGAGTGCATTCAGCGGCGCGTAAGAGAACGTCTTCTGGACCAGCCCGCCCGAGAGCGTCTTGCTAACGCCCGTGTCCGTCATGTTTGACACGTAGTTTCCGACAATGGAGCTCACGCCGCCGACCTCCTGGACGATATTTCCCAGATTGTCGATCAAAAAGGACAGGGTCGTTCCACCCTGCGTGATAGAGCCGAGCAGGCCATCAACTGCGCCGACAATCGGTTCAAGCAGGGAGGTGACGTTGTTGATGGTCGAGATGAGGAGAGGGTTGAGGTCGAGGGATTCAAACACCCGGTTCACGATGTCGACCAGGTGGCCCAACCGGACGATCAGCTCGAGGTTGGCGTCGACGTCTGAGATTGTGAGATTGACTTCCTGGATGGAGACGGCGACGCCGGCGTTCAGTGTCACCAGGTTGGCGACCTGGGCGTTGAGGTTGATGTCCGCGCGCAGGTCGTCGACGTCTAGTTCAATGCGTCCGACCGAGAGGGTAGGCACGTTCAGGTACACGTCGGGGGCTGTCGACGAGGCAGCTGTGGGTGTCAGGGTTGGGGAATTGGTCGAGGGCGTGGTGCTGCCATTTGAGCTCGACGAGGGAGTCGTTGCGGATGACGTCTGGGCTGAGATTTGTGGGACGAGCAGCAGGAGCGAGACTATCGTCAAGACGAGTCCGCCTATTGAAGAGGACATCATGGTGTGGCAGCCGGACGACGGCGATGTCAACAAGGGTAGACGTGGTGTGTGCGATGCGCTACCTCGAGAGCGAAAGAGTCAACGATACAGATCACACGAGAGAGCAGGGCGAAAGCACGGGGCCTGCGTATATCATGTCCATGCGTGCCATGTTCACGGACGGCAGATGCGCCTTTACTCGGTATACTGCACCATGGGAAATGGCAATCTCTCTCTCCCGCGTCGCTTACAGGGAAATTTCCCATGCACGCGATGGTTCTCGGCTGATGGGGGGATGTGCGTCGATCCCTGCAAGGCTGTGACGTGAAACCGGTTTTCTCGACGGCGCCCATCGACGCCCCGCGTTTCAACGGCCAGCAACGGTCTAGGGCTGAGCGGTGCCGAGATTGTGGGTGAACGGAGTGGAGGTGCCCCTGAACAAGCGGCATGAGCAGTGGGATGGCAGACAAGATTTGCATGCACGCCGTGGTGGAGATGCGGTTCGCGAGAAACACCCATGATCTGCCGGGAGTGATGCAGTAGGAGGTAATCGGATGGGGTACTCGCGCTGTGTATGTGACTGCATTGCTGCTGTGTGGCTTCTCATCCCTTTGAGACCGAGTCTCCGCCTACCTACACAATGCAGTCCCATTTGTAGTCCCTCATCGTGAGATCCTCATCGACACAGGAAAAGTCAAGTCCAACCACGATGTCACAGCTCCCACTCCCCCTCCTCCGGGTCTTCCTTCTCCTCGCCGCCCTCCTCACCCTCACCTCCTCGCAGACCCTCTCTTCCACAGACGATGGAGGCTACACAGGCTACACGCTCACAGTGCGCGACACGGCCAACAACACCGACGACGTCGTGTACGAGACGGAAAACACAAACACCGACACCTCAGGCGGCTCGTCCGCGCCCAACGCCGCCCCGCCGGACGTCTTCCTCAACGCGAGCGTCTCGGTCGGCGAAATCGACCTCACGGTGCGCAACCTGACGGCGCAGATCAACATCGCGGCGCAGGTCCTCTCGCTGCTGACCTTCAACGCGGGCGTCGATCTCAGCATCAACCGCGTCGAACTGCTCATCCAGAACGTGACGGCGAAAGTGGAGCTCGAAGCCCGGCTCGAGAACCTGGTGCTCATGATCAACGACACGCTCAGCTCGATTGATTTGAACCCCATCATCGCGACCTTGGGGAACGATGTGGGAGGTCTGCTGAACAGCACTGTTGGCGGTCTGACGGGTTCGGGTACAACCACAGGCACAAGTACCGGTACCGGTGGCGCCGACAGTGATTTATCCGCCCGGAGCGCCCTGCTCGAACAGGGCATCCTCTACTCCGTGAACGACTACTCCGGGAACGTGCATACGAACCGCGTGCTCGATCAGGCGGGCAATATCGTGGACGAGAAGCTGGGTAATGATGGAGACGTCTATTCGTCCGAGGTCGTCGGGTCGTATTGGCATGATATGACGTTCACGGGCCGGGAGAGCTCGGTGCTGTTCGACGGCGTGAGTGCACGCGAGGTACAGTATTCGTATACGCCGTTTTCGGGCTTGATTTCCACCGCGGCCATTTACCTGGACGGTGAGGGCAACGTGCTGGGGACGAGGGTGTTGAGTGAGATTGAGGGTGGAGGGTCCAGTACGATTGCGGACGATTGAGTGTGTACCATCAGCAGAGTGCGTCTATTTGGGCTATATAGACTATTCGCCTTATCCTGAGAGGGGTGAAAATGGAATACCCTGGCTGTCATGCTGTCGGGCTCCTTGTAAGCAAGGTGGCCGAGAACTCTCAATCGCGCCGCCGTTCAAGATTCCCAGCGTGCTAACCTCCACTTCCGGCCGGCTTGCTTGAGCTCAAGCAGCTGCTTGCAGCGATCTGGCCGGCGCACATGCCTTTCACCGCACAAAGAGGGCATTACACCAAGTCCATCTCCTGCAGCTGGATGCATTGATCTGCCCGTTGTAGCAGGCAAACGGTCGTGTAGTCAGAGATGCACGAATCGCTATTCAGCCTTCACACCCAGATCTGGGGCATGGGGTTTACCGTTGTCCTCCGAAGGTGTAACCTCAACCCAACTGCCCAGACTGGAATGCATTGCGCGTGGAGGGAGGACTACCCCGAGTCCTGTGAGGCTCAAGAACCGGAAGGATCCGTGGAAGGTATAGTCAAGGCGAATGTGACAGGTCTCGAAGATTTTGTATTGCTTCGTTATACTTAGAGGCCGGGAAATGCAGAGAAAGCCAGAGACATGCATGAGTAACGCTGGCAGCCAGCACTCTGGGACAGGGTAATGAGCCAGGACCTTGTGCAACCACAGTAGGCAGTTGGGGTGGCGGTCTGCTGAAATCTGTAATGGCGAGTGAGCAAACAGAACAAAACTGCCAAGAGTCCGGAAGAAAGAAATTCCGTTCCCAATGCAATGCCTTGCGAAGGTTCAACGCCCGCGGTCGGGACGCCATGCAAGCAACGAAGACAAACTGAGTTTGAGACGAAGTCCCGAGTAGAAATGGCGATTATCAGCGCTTTGCAACGGATCTAGATGCTTTGACCAGCCATCATGTCCTCCCATTACACGACCGAACCGCCTCCTACGGCCTCGGTTCTGCTTCACACTACAGCCGGCCCTCTTACCATTTCTCTGTTCGCCGCCCAGACGCCTTTAACATGCAGGAACTTTCTGCAGCACGTCCTCGACGAGGACTACAACAACAATCTATTCCATCGCGTCTCCCCAGGCTTCGTTATTCAAACAGGCGACCCATCAGGAACAGGCGAAGGTGGACAAAACATATATGAGGACCGAGAATTTGAACGGTATGACGAGGACTGGGCAAGACTGCTGGGTCGGGAGAAAGACGAGAAGATCGTGTTCGGAGATGAAATCCACAGTCGACTGAAGTTCAACCGCAGAGGGCTGGTGGGTATGGCGAAGGGGACCGGCCCTGGCGCGGGATATGGCACTCAATTCTTCATTACTTTGGGAGACTGCAGGGCTCAACTCGATGGGAAGTGCACCATGTTTGGTCGCGTTGAGGGAGATGGCATCTACAACGTGGTCAAGATTGCCGAGGGCGAGCTCTTGGAAGGCAGCGAAAGGCCGATGTATCCTGAGAAGCTTCTCAGGGTCGAAGTCCTGGAAATGCCCAAGGGCGACGCGTGGCAGAAAATGCGGAAGAGGCAAAAAGTCGCTGATCGCTTCGTTGAGGCTCCTACGAAAAAGAAAGCGCCAAAGAAGAAGGGTGGAAAGACTCTTCTGAGCTTCGGGGGAGAAGAGGGCGATGACGATGCAGGCCAGGTTGCTGTACGACCCAAGAAGGCCAAATTCAATCCTACCCTGATCGACGCAGAAGACATCGCAGAGTCGAAGCCAAAAACGAATGGTATAGCTAGTACACCTCGAACTACGGAAGCACGGACACCACCCTCCCCGATAATCCCTGCAAAGCGAAAACCAAGCCCATCGTCACAGCGAAAGTCACCTTCTCCAACTCATCATCGCAAACCTTCCTTTCACGATTCGACAACGCAGCTCCCTCTAAAAGATCCCGAGTCACCCTCCCGCTCACCTACCCCTGAGGACCAGCCATCAAGACCGGCGTCCAAGACATCCGCCTTGCAAGCTGAAATTGCCGCCCTGAAAGCTTCTATGCGTCGCAACGTTGATACCACCGATTCTTCGAAGCCGAGGCAATCAGCATTAGAGGCGATGATCCCAACAACAAGTACGCGAGGCCGGAAACGTCCTCGTCCGGGCGAAAGCAACGCTAAGGATGATGCCACCGCATTGAAGATGCTCAATGCGTTCAGAGCACGCCTTGAATCTGCCGATGCACCAGCAAAATCCCAGCCATCAACCAACGGGTTAAAAGACCGAGGCAACTCTCACAGCAACTCCAAAACAGGAATGTCAAATGCCCCCGGCGCCGCAGACGATGAAGAAGCCACCCTCTGTGATCTACACTTCATAGCCAATTGCCAGTCCTGCTCGAAATGGGACGATCCAACCAATGGGGAAGCTGAAGAGTCTCCCGACGAAGATGGGAAGAATTGGCTGAGCCATTCTCTATCGTTCGCCAAGGACCGTCTCGGAAAAGACCTCACGTGGAAAAGGAAAAACGAAGAGGAGTTGGTAGTTATCGATCCGCGGGAGAAAGAACGGGAATTGAAAGCCGAGAGGCGAAAAGATCGGGAGAAAGGCAAAGGGAAAGAGAGAAGGTGATGTCAGGTTCGTGTGCCTAACCACCGAGTCTTTGATTTAAAAGTGCTCCCCTGCTCTGCGGCGCACCGTTGTCCTCGTCACCACCCTAACTTACGGCCCTCGATTCCTGCATCAAGTATTTACTTCTTCACATCGCTCATCGGTTTGATCCCATGCTTTACGACCGGACTGTCGAGAAATTTTGCATGGTCATGGAAAGCATCGGTCTGCACTCTGGATACTTCGACTTCTGTTCTCCCTCGGCTTATTACGTCGGCATCATACTCGTTGACCGCCTCAAGCAAGGACTTCTCGCCGCTTTGGACTTTGATCATGGCTGAGACGAATTTCTCGCTGTCGCAAATCGCATTGTTCGCGCCCTGGCCACGGTCTGGATGTTTCTGCGTCAGCTGATATTTGTCCTATTGGGGAAGGAAGGACACTTACGGAATGTCATGCTGTGAGCGGCGTCTCCTGAGAGAGTGATTCTGCCGTCTCGATTATCCCAGCCGGTCTCGGGAGGGCCCCAGATCCTGAGCGGCACGGCTTTCGCACGAGTGTCCTTTGGTATCCACTCGACGGCCGACTTGTAAGGGTCTGCCCAGTCGTCCATTCTCCGCCGCAGCTCGTCGACCATGTTCTTCCCTTCGACGTAGTCGCAATCCTGCTTCGCCCAGGTTGCCAGGATATAGAAGACCCAGGTTTCAGGCTTTTGCAAGTCAGGCTTGTCTAGCAAGAATATGCCGACGTACATCGACTTTGGATGGGGAGCGACATCCACGATGGGGTGCATCATCTTGTCCATCTTGATTGCTTGCTCTGGTGTGTAGCGAAACGGGAAATTAAGGAATGTGTAAGGCAGCACCCGTGGCGATGCTAGGTCGCCCAGCATCCAGCGGCGAACCCATGAGCCACCGCCGTCACTGCCGATGAGCACCGAGCCTGACTCCGAGGTACCATCGTGAAAGTGTGCTTCCACTCCGTCTGAGGTAAGTTCGATATCTGTGACGGTCTTGCCAAACTACGGGGAGATGAGCAGAGAACAGTGCGTCAGATCCGGCAGGCCCACCTTGACATTGAGCCCTTCTGCCCAGATAGTCCTCGTTTTCTGGATGTTGAGCCTCCTAACACCCGGAAACGGCGGTTCCACAATTGTAGCGCCTGTCTGCCCATCACGAATGATGACACTCTCGAACCCGGCTGCCTTCGTATCAAGGCCCGGGTCTGGCTGGCACTCCGGCAGTCGCTTGTACAGTTCTTCGGGCAGTAACTTGGCAAGCAGCGGGTGGCTCCAGGCGATGGTGACTCCCCAATTGCGATGCCTTGGGGAACTCTCCTTTTCTACTACGACATAGTCAATCCCATTCTGCATCATATGTCAGCGCGATAGAAACTTGGCCCTTGCGAATTCTCAATACCCACCTTCTTGAGCCCATGAGCAAGAGCCAAGCCGGAGAGACCTGTAGAAGAGACTTGGTCAGAGCAGAGTACTACCACAGCCAAGGGTAGAATGGTTACCTGCTCCTACCACGATGACCTTGAGCGGCTGAGCCATCTGCGCTCTGCCCTGCTCAAATACGTGGATGGTTCAGAAAGCTAAGGGTGAGGGTAAAGATCAGACCGCTTGTGAAGGTGGCAGAAGAATCGGACAGCCCTCGGAAGGAGCACGAGTTCTCGGTCTGTGACTGGGGAAGTGGTACCTCCTTCTCGTCAGTCCAGTCGCAATGCTTGGGTGGAGGCAGTTCCGACAGTGGTAAAAGAATTCACTGATCGAGCTCGCTCACCACGTTATAACAGACAGGAGCGTTCCATGAGGTTGTCCAGCCAATCTCAGCAACTCTCGGAAACCAGCCAGTCAGCTGTCGCGCCGGAACTAAATCTCACCCCGGCGACATCAGGATCACAGCTGAAGCAAATCTTCTCAGCAGCCCAAGGCGGTTAGCCGCGTGTTTACTCCGTGCACCGTAAAGGCACTGCGAGTCTGCCGCATATCCCCAGTAGGGACAAGCCTCTGCCTGAGCCCGGCCTGAGCCCGGCCTCTTTCAACTCATCCACGGAGCGTATCAGAGAGCTGCTGTCTGGACCGACGCAGATGTTAAGTTCATACCAAGACAAGGTCTAGCTCTATATTGATCATCGCTGGCACCTACGCATTGCTGCATCAAGCTACCTAGGGCGATCGCTTCAAGGGAACTGCGCTGCAATCTAGCAACTTGATCAGATGTTGTGAGGGGCAACAATGGCGATAATCGAACTCGCGCACATCAGCCTCAAGGACGGCCTCACGGCAGACGACCCGCAGCTGAAGAAAAACCTCAAAGAAGTAAAGAGGGTGATCGAGGAGTACAGCAAACTGGAAACCATCTTCTACCGACAACTCGATGACCCGTCGGTCATGTTTGTGATCGGCGCGTGGAAGACCAAGGACCACCACCAACATGGTTTTGACGGCTCTCCGCAACAAGGCGAAATCCTCACGCTGATCAAGGATCAGATGGGCATAGACTGGATGTACTACATCGACGTGGAGCAGTCGCGCATACCCCTCAACGCACCCGTTCTGGCCATCATAAAAGAAGCGTTCGCGAAGCACGGTGTCAATCGCACCGACTTCGATCAGCAGTTTGCATCCCAGACGGCGCACATCGGAGGAGCGAGGTACGGGGCTATCTCCGCGTGGAATATTCGCAAGGACAAGCATGAACAGGACGTGAGGGTGAATTTTTCGGGATGGGAGAGCCTGGACGAGGCGACGCAGGCAATGGTCAATACAATTGAGCAGGTCAAGGGGTTTCGAGCTGTGCCGACGGATCTGAATTTCTTCTTTGCGACGAGGGCCGAGTTGGATTGAATTGTCTGCGTGTGCGGTGGATGACTTAGCGCGAGACCTGACGACGATATCTCGAGACGGTGTGCACTTGCACCCACGCCAATTGGGCTCGTACTCCGAATACTTCTTGCCATGGATCCTGATGCGAGCAAGATCTGGCCGTCGCTTGTACAAGTAGTCCCCCGGGCTAGGCCCCTCGTGCTCCCCTGCTTGATTCTTCACCTCCGCCCAGGCGCCCCCCGCCTTTCGCTATTTTAGGTGCCGGCCCGATGACCTAGTTACGCCCCGCTTCCTCACTCGCCTTCAGGTGAAGCTGAGTGCTGACGGCTACCAAGTACAAGTCAGAGCGGGCCAGGGCCTGACAACTGACAAGTGAATGTATGGCTCTACATTTGGAAAGATCGAGTTGATAGCCAAAGTTTACGCTCCTTGAGCTGAAGGCGCGGAACCAATTCAAGCCCGAGTGATTGCTGCGAACCACGAGTACAAGGCACGGAGAAGAACCCGACCAGTACAAACACCAGTAGTGGACCGAAGTCTTTACCTTGGTGTAATGTGTTCGACTCGCGGTATGGAGCACGCCCAAGTTGGTCGCATCACCACTGATACAAGGGTAGACTCGAAGCATCAGAATTAAATCTCAGTATTGTAGCACGGCAAACCCACAAAACGACCCAGCACAGCACAGCACAGCACAGCACAGCACAGCACAGCAGAACATGGCAACCGCCGCCACCACCACCTCATCCTCAGATGACCAGATCCTCACGGACGCGCTCCGCGATCTCATCTCGGCGAACCACATCCTTCACCACCACGGCGTGGTCGACGCGTACGGGCACGTCTCCATCCGCCACCCGCTCGACCCGACCAAGTATATCATGTGCGGATATGTAAGTTTGCGACAGTCAGTTCATTGATCGTCCCTACACTGTCGCTGTCGTGATATTCGCAGAGAAATGGGTGTAATGCACGTACAGGCTCAGGCTTGAGTTCACGTACCACCGCAGGCCAGAGTTCAAGTACTGTACAAGGACAGGGCTAACACGGACACAACCCGCGCAGATGGCTCCCGCGATGGTTTCCTCCCCAGCCGACCTGATCCACTACAACGTGTCGGATTCGTCGCCCGTAGACCCTCACGCCCGGAAAGGCTACTCGGAGAGGTTCATCCACGGGGAAATCTTCAAGCGGTTCAGCAGCAGCAGCGTGAACTGTGTGATCCACTCGCACGCCGAGGAGGTGCTGCCCTACGTGGTGAGCATGGGCGTCAAGCTCAAGGCCGTGTACCATATGAGTGGTTTCCTAGGCAGTAGGGGGGTCAAGGTCTTCGACATCGCCCCGCTGTATCGGCAGGGCGAGCAGCAGGACATGCTGGTGAATAATGCGCGCTTTGGGGCCGCGTTGGCGGAGAAGTTCGTCGCCGAGGGTTCAGGCACAGAGGCTGACGCGCCGGAGGAGACGGTCGTGTTGATGAGACGCCATGGGTTCACGGTCGTCGGGAGAGATCTCGTCACCGCCGTGTATCGTGCGATATATACGCGGATTAATGCCGAGGCGCAGACCAAGGCCATGAGTATTGCGCGGAGCGGGATGGTTGACAATGAGGAAGCGCAGCAGCGGGAGGGAATGGAGATGGGGTTCCAGGCCCTCACGGCGGAGCAGGTCGTCGGGTGTTCGGTCATGAATGAGGCGTTTCATGATAAACCTTGGCGGTTGTGGGTGAGGGAGGTGGAGAGGTTGCCGTTGTATGAGAACCGGTTGAGTGAGAGCAACCCGCCTGGACTAAAATCGGAAGTTGATATGTAAGGAATAGCGGAGTCGAGCGTAAGCGGTCTTCAAGCGTCGTAAGTGAGGCAGCGAAGCGGTTTTGGAGGAAACAACGGAGAAAGTGCTATTGTGCTTGATGTCGATGGCCAAGATACTCCGTACGTTGCCGAAAAGAACGAGAAAACATATCTCTGCATCATCGCCTTTCCTGCCCCGCTGGCCAACTGAGAACTGGGTATATCAAGGTGGCATGGCAAGACCAGGGCGCGCAGAACCAGAGATTAATTTGTCTCCGCAAAGCAGGCGCCCGTCACAATATCAAACTTACATATCCCTGCATTGTCCCCTTCCCTGACCGCTGACCAACTGAGAACTGGGTATATCAAGATGACATGGCAAGCAGACCACGGCGCGCGGAAGCAGAGACCAATCTGTCTCCGCAAAAGCAGGCACCCGTCACAAGATCAGACTTCAACACCAGCAATCCAAGCGATTCCTGCCTTCACGATCTTCTCCACAATATCCACCTCGGCCATTGTTCGCGGAGCATAAACCATTGCCCAGCCCTTATCAATAAACTTCAGGGGGAATCGCATTCCCCATCCCTTCTCAACCACAGTCCTTGCGTCGGCCTCGGACAGCCACACGTGCAGACTCCCATCAGATGGATGAGCGTGCGCGATCTCCGTGCCAAGCATCTTGTTGTTCTTTGCTCGATCGTTGAGCGTCTCTAGTGCGGGTTTCGCGTAGATTGCATCAGTGCTTCCACCTTCAGTCTTGCTAGGTCGGAGTTCCAGTAACGAGGGATGTTTAGCAGCAAAGGTAGCCATCATAGATTTCACGCGCTCCTCAACGCCCGGTTCCACTCCGCCGCGTTTGTAGGGAACTTGACGTTGAGGCATGGTGCGAGCCATGATTGCTGGTCTGGATCCTTCGCGGACGGGGATGGCATTGGCATCGAGGTACTTGGGCCCGGCTGATGAGAGTGGTGAAGGGTCGGAGAGGTCGTCCTTGCCGAACAAGAGCAGGCGATTGATCCGGATCTTGGTCATACGCCAGTAGCCCGCCCAAGTGGGAGGTGTACCCCCTGTGCCGAAGGATTTCCAGGCGTAGAAGTCATTGAGGACCCAAGCGAGGGAGAAGGTCAGCGCTACGGCTGTGGCTGTAGAAACTGCCTGACGTGGGCGTGCCTTAATGGCATCGAGAAGTCTGCGGTACTGAACTGAGAGCGTTGAGGTGAGTGTATCCATGATCGTCGTTGGACTTTCGGTTCACGTCTTGCGTGATGTTGTGGTGGAATTAGAAGTGAGAGTGAGATGTCAGACGGGCTTTAAGCAAGCTGACCTCTCGATCTGCTTGCCGAGAGCTCGGCAATCGGTCAGCAATTCGAGCGATATTGTTCCGGTGCGTTCGCCCAGAGGCAAGGTCAGTGATGCAGGCTTACTCCGTACAAGAAGAGATTCAGTTTGTGTTAATACAGTACTACAGACCCGATCTTGGCCACAGGTGCCTGAAGCTCTAGCCGGGGCCCCTGAATGGGCTAGGCAAGCCTAATCAGCGACCCTTAACTAGCCTCAGGGCAGCTTCCCCGCAACGGGGCGGGTCTTGAGCTTATTTAACAAAGTACTCCGTACTCCGTACAGTACCGCTGCTTTAACGTGAATGGCACGGAAAAAGTGCGGCGCCGATGTTCGGCTCGGAAGCCGTTGCTGTTGCCGCTTGTCGTCACTTTTCTGTCGAGTCTCGAGTGCCATGATCATGTCATTTCTCGTGACGCAGTCCACTGCCTCCAAAGTCCAACCTTTCCTACGGTCCTGACGGCGCTGGCAAAGATGTCTGGCTCGGCTTCAAGGAGTCTTGCGCGTTTGCTGCGCCAGACGAGGAGGCCTTGCATACCTCGGCCTCAGATCACCCAGTGCCAGTCCTTACGGGCGGCTTCCATTGAGCCCGTACGAAGCTTCTCGGCGACATACCGACGGCGGAGCGACCCCAGCGAACCTCATCACGATGTCAGATATACCACGGACATGTACCCTTCCCTGAAGCGCGACTCGAGGTTTTCAGAGCTCACGGAGAAACATATCCAGTTCTTCAAGTCTACGCTGGGCGACGAGGCTGCTGTCATTGATGGCGTCACACAAGATGCGACGGATGATCTTGAGCCCTTCAACAGGGACTGGATGAAGAAGTACAGAGGTCGTGCCAAGCTGGTCCTGAAGCCCAAAAGCACGGAAGAAGTGAGCAAAGTCTTGAAATATTGCAATGATAATAAGCTTGCTGTGGTTCCCCAGGGGGGTAATTCAGGCCTGGTGGGTGGTAGTGTTCCGGTCTTCGACGAGATCGTGATTTCGTTGTCACGGATGAACAAGATTCGAAGCTTCGACGAAATCAGTGGCATTCTGGTTGTTGACGGAGGTGTCATCATGGAAGTTGCCGACAATTTTCTGGCCGAGCGCAACCATCTCTATCCCCTCGACCTCGGCGCGAAAGGTTCGGCTCAAATCGGGGGCAATGTCGCTACCAATGCCGGAGGTCTGAGACTGTTGCGGTATGGTTCCTTGCATGGAAATGTTCTCGGAATTGAGGGTGTGTTGCCAGATGGCACCATCTTTGATGATCTCTCCACGTTGCGGAAGAACAATACTGGCTACGACTTGAAACAGCTGTTCATTGGTGGAGAAGGGACCATCGGCATCATCACGGGCGTCTCGATCCATTGCGCACAAAGGTCAAAGGCGGTAAATGTGGCTTACTTCGGCCTTCCCTCCTTCGAGCATGTACAAAGAGCCTACAAAGAAGCGAAGATTCACCTTGGAGAGATCCTGTCGGCTTTCGAGCTCATGGATGCTCGCAGTCAAGGATTTGTACACCAAGTGACGGGCAACAAAAGGCCACTTGACGGTGACCACCCATTTTACTGCTTGATTGAAACCAGCGGTTCAAACACAGACCATGATAGCGAGAAGCTCGAGAGTTTCTTGGAATACGTCATGGGCGAGGACATCGTCTCGGACGGCGTACTGGCTCAGGATGAGACGCAAGTCCGGCAGCTGTGGGGCTGGCGAGAAGGCATCACTGAAGCCATCGGACACTTTGGCGGCACGTACAAATACGACTTGTCCATTCCCATCAAAGAATTGTACAGTCTTGTCGAAGAAACCCGGGAACGATTGAACTCCAAAGGACTGGTAGGTGACGACGACTCGTACCCAGCGATTGCAGTGGTCGGCTACGGGCATATGGGCGACGGAAATCTACATCTCAACGTTCCCGTCAGGAAGTACACCAAAGAGGTCGAAGAAGCAATCGAACCGTGGGTCTATGAGTGGATCCAAAAACGAAGGGGAAGTATCAGTGCCGAACACGGCCTCGGCATTGCGAAGAAGAAATACATTGGATATCAGCGGAGCGACACTATGCTGAAACTCATGAAGCAAATAAAGGACCTTTATGATCCCAACGGGATTATGAACCCGTACAAATATATATAACCGTGGCGTCGTCTCTTGGGCGAGGGGCTGCGGGATATGCCACTACTCTGCCTATCCCGTCCTACAGACTTCTGCATCTGATCTCATCACGCTTGAGCATCCGACATTCGGGGCTAGCAACGCGCACCACCACTGCTGTCCAAGCAGATACTGTATCGAATCCTGTGCGGGGAAATTCAACCGCTTCAGCTGGACTGACCACATACAGTGATTCCCCGAGGCTGTTGTACGGATGTCTCCAATTCGGGTATGAAGAACTCGCGTGAGGAGATCGTACACGCATCGACTACATCGCTAGTATTTGTTGACCCGTTGCCGCTTTGTTTCCTGGGTATGTCTGTTAAGCCTAGGCAAAGCTTCTCGTCAAGAATCTCCTCGCGTCTGTCTCTCGTTGGCTCGCAGGTTTCACCAACCATGGTCTCCGCGGAAAGGCTGAAAGAAATATGCGTCCCGCTCTCGAGTGAACACGCATACAAGAAGCGCAAACTCAGGGTCGCTACAATTGGCGCCGGCTTCTCAGGGTTGATACTAGCCCACAAGATCCAACATGAACAGCCCGAGCTGCAGGAATTCATTGACCATGTCATCTTCGAAGCGAACGACGACGTCGGCGGCACGTGGCGTGTGAATACTTATCCCGGAGTGCAGTGCGATGTGCCCGCGCATATATATGTTAGCATCCCTGCCGCCTCGGGTATCACACAGGATGTGGGGTCATGGACCGACTGACTTGTGTGTTAAGGCATTTCCCTTCGACCCGAATCCGAATTGGTCGAAGTTCTACGCCGATGGTGATGAAATTCTCGCATACGTGGAGAAGGTGGCGACAAAGTGGAATTTGAGACGGGATGTCCAATTCAACACGAGAGTAATTGGCCTCGAGTGGTTAGAGGAGGAAGGGAAATGGAAGATTCGTGTACGAAAAAACGGACAGGAGGAGCGGGACGAATTTGCCGATGTGCTTGTTTCGGCTCAGGGGTTCTTGAGGTGAGTTTGCCTGACGTTGTGAATGGATGCAAGACTCTTGCCGACCAGGCTATTGAGTACCCAAAGCCCTTCATCGTCACTGTAGCTGACCTCTCCCATCTTCCAAGTCAATGGAAATGGCCTGATATCCCTGGTATCCACGACTTCCAAGGTCACAAAGTCCACTCCGCCGCCTGGGACCATTCGTACGATTACTCGCACAAACGCATCGGCATCATCGGCAACGGCTCATCAGCCATCCAGATTCTACCTCAAATGGCCAAACTGCCAGGCACGCAGATCATCAGTTTCCAACGTGAAGCCACTTGGATCACGCAGAGTCTAGGCCAGGCACTCGGCGTAGGTGACCAAGGCGATCCCGAACCTCAGGAAAAGGGAGACCAAGAAATGGTCAATGGCGATGTTGGCGTCGATATGGCGGACGTTGACGCCAGTGACGAAGAAGTAGGCAGTAACTTCAACCCCCGGTATACAAGTCGGGACAAGGCTCGTTTTCGCAACCCAGAGAAGCACAAAGCATACAGAAAGATGCTCCAACACGGTATGAACAAGGGATTCCGCTTGGTATGTGCTTTGCGTGTGGTTCTTTCTCCGTCGGGACATTGACTGACTCGTTGACTTGATGACTCGCTGACTTGCCGATGTTCCAGTTCCGCAAAAACTCCCCCCAAAACACCAAATCTACCGAAGTCACTATTTCCCGCATGCGCGCTGCCCTGAACAATGACCCGTCCCTCTGCGAAAAGCTCATCCCCAACTGGACGCTCGGCTGCCGTCGCCTCACCCCGGGAGAAGGATACCTCGAATCCTTCCTCCTGCCGACCGTCACGCTCGAGAAGTCCCCTATCAAGCGCATCACTGCCACCGGTCTCGAGACCGCACAAGGAACGCATCACGATGTCGATGTGATCGTGTGCGCCACGGGCTTCGACGTCTCCCATATCCCGCATTACCCCGTCACAGGCCGCGGCGGGGTGACCCTCGCGCAGAAGTGGGCCTCGGAGCCGGAATCATATCTCAGCGTCGCGTGTCCAGATATGCCTAACTATTTCATCTTCACGGGGCCGAATGCCACGGTCGGCCACGGCACGCTGTTGACCAGCATGACGTGGACGGCCGAGTATATTTGTCGGTGGCTGCATAAGATTGCCGGGGAGGGGATCAAGAGTGTGGCTCCCACGCAGGACGCGACGGACGAGTTCGTGAGGTATGGGGATGAGATTCATGAGACGTTGACTTGGACTGGTGAGTCCCCACTACGCCTCCTTGACTACTTGACCAGAAATGGAACCTCTCGCACTTGGAGCGCGTCGTTGGAGGCGCATGGCTGCTGTGCTTGCATTTCTTCTCGTCCACCCCCTTGTTCTGTCCGCCTCGTGGTTTTGAGACCTGTTTCCGTGCCTGTTTCTATTTTCTGTATCCTCCCCTTGCTATCTTTTATTTGTAATGGGATGGAACTTTTACTAATGTAAATCACCAGGCGGATGTAAGAGCTGGTACAAGAACCATCGAGTCGACGGACGAGTCACGGCAACGTGGCCAGGCAGTGCGCTGCTTTACCGCGAGGTCATACTCCGGGAGATCAGGGTATGTACACCTCCGGAGGCCATCTGTTGGTTGGGATTTCAAGGCTTTGAGTCTCAGTCACTGGCCTCGACCACCCGGCCTTCGATGGCGGGCTGGATGTTTACATCCTTGTGGCCGAGCCAAGTGCTAACTGATGCGTCCAGGGCGAGGATTTTGACGTCCGATACTGGAGTGGGAATCGCTGGAAGGGGGTCCTGGGCAATGGGTTCACGCAGATTGAAGCGGAGGCAGAGGAGAAGGAGAAGAACGGCGAGACGATCGACCTGGCTTTTTATCTTAATACTTGAGTCGTGGTACCGTGGTCTCAGATCAGGTGCTCCTTCTGACATTATTAGGATTGATTATGTATGTCGGGCGGAAGCAGTGAATTAAACGGAGACCTTTTCTCCGGTAAATCGCCGTCTGGTCTGCTCTTGTCGGCCCTTTTGAAAGGTCGCCCGGTATTTTGTGCAGTTCAAGATCCCTCCTGCGCTCGACAAGGTATCCTCAATTGCCGAAGCTGAGGGCATCGGACAGCTTGTTCCTTTCAGGGAAGCATCGAAGCATCAGCGTCACATCATACGACCAATGCTCGACCGGCTATTGGCATCAGAAACAAGACAAGCATCACGACAGATATAGGACAGGTCGGTGTACCCCGGTGATTGGTGGCACCTTCCCCTAGGGTCTCGTGTTCGAGCCTCATTGACGGGAAAAAAGACCGGGGTTTCGCCAGCTACCCATCTTCATAGGATGCTATCACGGTATATTGGAGGAGACCCCTACTGCACCGGAAGGGGGAGTCTGCCTTGTGCCGCGCCCATAGTAATCGGGCGACAGCTCGCTCGCTATTCATTGGGCTCAGTCCGCATTTCAAGCCCCTGGAAGCATACGGGCAGCACTGTCCCGCTAAGGCGCAGGTGGCAGATTCTCAGCCTGATGTGCCTGGCTCGTTTACACCTTGCCCTTTCAGATCCTCCACGTCCTGCTGCTTGCTGCTTGCTTTGAATGTTCTTCCCCTTGCCGCAGGAACGACTATCTATTAGTGATGTGACGACTGACTGAAAGCCTGCAAAAACAACCCGTGTCATGGCCGAGGCTGCCGCTGTCGCATCCATCGTTGGCATAGCGAGCTTCGGCATTCAGCTAACAAAGACGTTGTATGAGTTTGCCTCCACTGTATCGGGCGCAAGGGACGAGGCCAACTACATCGCTCGTCATGTCGACCTCGACGCCAACGTCTTGGATATCCTGACGGGGCGCTGGCGCAATCATCACCATCCTCCGGTCCACCCGGTCGCAGGCATTGCAGGTGGAGATGCAGTTGAAGTTGTAAGGCACGCTTCTGCACGGTCGCCACTGCAACAATGACTGAATTGTGTGTGCTATGGCGACGCCTGGCCTGATCGCCTCGTTCTAGCACGACATCACGGCACGACCGAATTGCGAAGTCGGTTCGTTACACAGCGTTGTGTCGAGCAAAGCTGGATCATGTATGCGTACGTACAGATCTAAATGCACACACGACGGTAAGTAGGACGATAGAAGGGTGGCAGCGGAGGGAAAAGCGTGGCGAGGACGATGATCAACGACGGATACTGTCCTTTCATCGGCTTTGGTCTCGAGCTCAACCATGCGGAGGAGTCCATAAGTGCAGTCATAGTCATGCCACTGTTACGGTCACACTGTCCTTCCACTGGCTTTGATCTGGGTCTCAGCAACGTGGAAGAAACGACACAGTTCGGGGGGATGATGTAGTGGGTACGCGAGATCCTCATACTGTAGCTTAAAAGCTCGAAGAAATGCAACGCAGCCTGCGGAGTACATCCTGGAGAACAGCCTTGCCGTGCCGTGCTCAAGCAGTGTAATTCTACATGTATCCCATGGTTTTCACACATGCTGTACTATAGATGATTCGACCTGAAGATGGTGGCCGTGCTCAAGCAGCACGATTCTACATGTATCCCAAATTCTCACACATGCTGTGCTATAAATAATTCCACTAGAGTATATGGCTACGCTTCCCTTTCCTAGCTGCCTCTCCTTCTGCCGGACCAAGACTCCAAAACTACAGCATTCACTTCGCGCTCGTCCCCGTCCTCCCCATGGCCAAAGCACAGATGACAGCCGCGCCAACACCGCTCCCATCCTCGGCACTCGTCAACTCGATCCCCTCGCCCTCCCTGCCAAACCCTCCCAACTTCATATCTAGGATCTCGCGCACCGCGCACTCCCACCGCTCCTTGAACCGGGGATGCTTGACAGCCACGCTCCCATCCGCGGCGACGTGGCCCTTCCGCCTGCCAATGCGACGACAGATCGCCGACGCGCCGCACGCGCAGAGCCTCGCGCCCCGAATGGCGATGAGTTTCGCGACGGCCTGGCAAAACCGCAGCTCTGCGTCCGAGGGCGTAAGGCCGGCCAGAACGCGCTGGAAGGCAGATTTCGCCTCGGCGAGAGATGGCGTCGCGTCGTTTTCGACCGTCGAGAGGAATTCCGTGTCGATGGCGTACGGGTTCGAGAGGGCGTCCTTTTGCGCCTGGGTCTGCATGTTTGCGTCCGAGTCTGAGCCCGAGGACCAACCCTGGAAGATGACCCCCTTGGTGAACAGTTCGAGGAGGATCTGTCGGAAGATCTCTCCCAAGTAGAGTCCTGCCGACATTTTTTCGAACGTCTGCTCGCCTGGGCGGGGGCTCTGCTCGTCGATGAGTTCGTCGTAGCGCGTTCTCGGGAGGACGGTGTGCGAGTTGTCAAAGGCGCCGTATTCGCAGTTGATGGCCATTGGGGAGTCTTCTTTTAGGGAACTATCGGGGTCTGTTGTTTGGGACGGCATTTTGGGGATTTGCGACACACGGTCCATGTATGCGGCGTTGCAGCCCGTGCCGAAGATGGCGCCGATGATCGTGTCGGGGTCGTTGTATGCTGAGGCGATGAGCGCGCCTGTCGTGTCGTTGACCAGGGCGATCAGCTTGACCGGGAGGTTCTGTGGGGGAGAAGGATCAGTAATAGTGACGGTTTACGAGAAGAGATCTGATGGCATAGGACAATTACATACTCTTTTCTCCATGGCCTTTCTCAGCATCTCCGCCACGTCGTGTCCCTCGACGTCCTTCACGTCCCAGCCTTTCGTCCACGTCTGGAGGATTCCGTGGTCGATCCTGTCCTGCGTGGCGGGATAGCTGAATGTGAAACCTAGAGGGATCTTTCCCTCGGCGCATGCGGCCTCGTCATCCTTGACGTGCTCTGTCAGGAACTCGCTGAGGTGGTCGGCAATATGTTCAAACAGCTGATCCGCCGTGCCGGTCTTGATGTCCTTGGGTAGCGTATACTTCTCCTGTTTCGTGTGGTGTCCGCCCATCTCATCGGTAAGAGTAATCAGGCAGACTCGCAGATTCGTCCCGCCTAGGTCGATGGTAAGGTACGTGCCTGTCTCACGCCCCGTCGGAGAGGAAGTCACCCAGGTGATGTTCATAGGCTAGGTGCATAGAGGTGGATGGTTAGTTTCACATTGTCATTCTGGGAACTCGTCGGCTGCTTGCAATGGGATGGAAGACGGACAATATCACCTTTGCGCTCCAGACCTGGGAAGTTGGGCGTTAGATAAGCGAAGAGTAAAGACACCTCTATATGCAAGTGTAGAAAGTGAGCACCAACCTGCCTGAAGTTCTTCGCCGAATCGGTCGGTAATCGTCTTCAGCAATGCAGTATCGACTGTGAACAACTGCTCGAGTCGACGGAGTTCCTCCCCCAGCTTCTCGGGAAGATCATCTGGGAATTCTACCATCGACGTTAAAAGCTGCGGTTCAAGCAGCAAACAGACCGACCTACCGAAATCGATATCCTCCCTGCTGAATTGCAGGTTCTCCGTATGAGCGGACATGGTGAGCGTCGTGATCTAGCTTTGAAAGAGTATCTGCACCTCAGACTGCTTTACCTGAGCGACGAAAGCTACCTGCTGGCCTATGTGCTAAATATTGAAAAGAGTTTCGCGTTTTAACAAGCAGGAAGAAAGATCGGGCCCGGATCTTGAATCCGACTGGGGAAGGACGTGAACTGCCCATGTCACCCTACTTGGTGTACTTAACTCGTATGTAGCATTCCGCCGAGACAGGCCCTCGAATCATTGAATCTGCCGGCATCCGTCGTCGTCTCCTCATGGCGAGGAAAGTTCGGCAATGTTGGGCGTGGTGGATCGAGGATCTCCAGCATAATGAAGATCCATGGGTGACGTCAATTGTTGTGTCCGCCGATTGGTGGGTGATTGGTGCATCCTGGGGAAAAACATGTCATACGAGGACTCGTAGTTGCAGCTCAGTACAGCTCTTGGGTTTCTAAGCCGATAATAATGTCGCGGATATTCTATCTCATCTCTGTCCAGCAATGAAACCGATGCATGTCAGGCGTGTTGGAAACGCGCTGGACGCGTCGGGACAAGTCTTGGCGCAGTCACGTGCCATGTATGTATACGGAGAACGTAGTGGTGGGGGCAACTTTCACTTTGCCTTCACCCAGGTTTCACCCTCTCCTCTCGCAATTCCCGATTCATTTATTATGGTTCGTCCACACTGGGACTCCGGAGGAAACGCTTCACGAAATCAATTCGTAACGGGTGATCCTCGTGACATTGGGCACTTCGTTGTTCAGCCTTTCAGTCTCGATGGCCGCAGACACATCCACGTGTGCAGTCTGTGCCCGCTCTTTTCAAGCCGGTAGGTGAGCTGCCATCGCGTTTCGAGATTCGCCGCCAATTTCTTTACTCACTGGCACTGGGGGCAGCTTCCCTCAAGAGGCATGAACGGTACTGTCGCAGCAAGCTCACTCAGCCGCTGCCGCCGCGTCGAAAGTCCTGCCTCGCATGCATTCAAGCGAAGTCGCGATGTGATTCACGCAGACCCGAATGCGAACCCTGTCAACGCAAACACAGAATCTGCGTATACTCGGTAGGGCATTCGTCACGCAGACAAAGCCAATCTGATGCATCACCACTTGCTGTAAGCACAGAATATCCACTGCCAGTAAATAGAACGGTGGCGGAAACCTCTTCGTCCTCCTCAAGGCCATTGCGACCAAGGAAAGCACCATCGACACCTAGCGTGGTAATTTTCCAGACGGCGTCGCGAATCGTCTGCTCGTTCCCGCAAAGAATGAAGAGACAAGCGACTTGGCCCCCTTTCATCCATCGCTCGAGGCATTTGCAGCCGGCAGTCGCTTTGCGCTTCGACGATCCGGTCCTCGTCTGCCAAAGAATATGTGACCAACAGGCGGTACACGGGGACACCAAAGATCCTACCGTCCTTGGTGCTATCGCCTTGGAGCAAGAAAGGCTGTATGCCCTTCGTACCTCTCCTGATAGATGGCTCCACCTCTCGTCGGCGCAAGCTGTCATGATCTATCTTCTCATGCTTGCAGGAGGAGGCGACACGACGCTGACACACAACATCAATCTCCCAACGACCCTGCTGTTCACCTTGCGGGCGCATTACGATTGGATGAATCAGAATTATCCGGCTTCACGCACTGCCGTAGACAAGACGGTTATCGACGCAGTGGCATGGGACGACTGGGTCTTCAATGAATCAAAATGTCGAACGGCGATGCTGTATTTCATGTTTGGGCTCTTCTTCGACATTGAGTTTGGCCTGCCGTGCGACCGTGAGCTTGACTATCATCCTGTAGATGTCAACCTTCCAGCGCCGAAGCCCCTATGGGAAGCAAGAGACGATCTGTCGTGGCGTGCAGAATATGATATTGCTTGCCACCCGAGGGACCCAGATTTGAAATATGGGGACTTGTTGCAGCTCAACCAGCAAGATGTTGGCGCTGAGGATGAAAACGCGGAGGAGATACAGCGACTCGTAAGAAGGGTAGAGAAGTGGCACGAGGAGATGGATGACTTCGGCATGCTCGTCACATTCTGCAGCACCATCATAGGGCAATGAACAACCCCGAGGACAGCAATATATTCGCCAACGCGGACGATATCCAAAAGCTAATGCGCTTTCTGGCGTGCTATACATACGTTCGAGTCCGACGCTCCAAAGACCCGTCAACACCCAAGCATTCCTCCCAGATATCGTTCCATAGCTTCTCGCGGACTTCCGTCCCTGCTGCGGTCTGAGTGAAGGAAGCACGTCGGCGGAAAAGGTCAGCATCTTGCTTTTCACACTGGCCGAGAACTTACCGAGCAACCGTGTTGTCACTCAAATACAAGCCATGCGACTCCTTCCCAGCAACTCCCAAAGCATAAAGGTACGTCTTGACCCCTTCATCGACGTCCCGGCCCTTGAATGCAAATATCCCGGCGAACACAACTCTCAACCAAACAGGATAATCGCCAAACCCAGTCTTGACCATTCCAGGCGACACGTCGTTGACAATGACCTTCTCCGGATCCACATACTTTGCCAGTGCCTCCACAATCAGAGTCCCCAACAGTTTCGAGTCAGGATAGCGCGCCATAGCGACGAACTGGCTCTTATCGTCGAAATGCGCAACAACCCCCTCGCCTGCCCTGACAGGTTTCTTCTCGAGACTATGGTCGTACTGCACGAAACTTCCCACCCAGGTCAACCGCGAGGGTACACCCGTGCGTGACGCCGTCTTCTCCAGCACGGGGAGCAGCTCCAGGGCCAACAATGCAGGAGAGAGCACGTTGACTTGGATGGTCTTTTCGTGGCCCGTCTTCTCTGCGACCTCCCACTTCAGACTCCCCGTACCTGCGTTCAACAAGACCATGTCCAAATTGCCGTCCCATCGCGTCTTCACCTCTCTCACGAAATGGAGCACGCTCGAGTAGTCCTCAGCGTCTAGACGCAAGACTGTGATCTTTCCATTTGGGTTGACTCTTTTGAGCTCGCGGTCGGAGAGGATGTCAGCATTGACAGCATTCGCTTTCGCAACGGAACGGACGCCAGCGATGATCTCCTTGGCGCCATGTAGAAGGAGGTGCTTTGTCGCGGCAAGACCGAGCCCAGCGGACGTGCCGGTGATGAGGACAGTCTTGTCGCGGAAGGGGAGCGAAGAAGGGAGAGTCAGTTTAGGTTGAAAGTAAGGCATAATCAATGCAGTATTGCGGTTGTTCAATCGCGAGGCTTGAGGAGGTGTTTTCGTGTGTGGCGACGTCCAGGCAAAGTATCAAGCAAGTATCAAGAAAGGAGTCGAGGATCAGATCCAATATATTAGACCAATAGCAGATCACGTCTCAAGTACGAAATCGAGTATTGGATCGGGTATCAGATCAAGCAAGAAATCATGTAAAATGTCTCTCCCATGCCAGCAAGACACGAGGTGTGAAGGACTGAGTATTCGGTGGGAGTACTCGCCTGCGCACTCTCAATATATACCTGCGTTTCCAGGCGGACTCAATATCATTTTACATACGAACTAATCTGCTAGTACTACCTAGTCACTCGTTAGTTGTCCCACCTGCATTAGAACAAGACACTCAGTCGCTGTACAGACATCCACGCTACCTCGACGCGCCACTTCCAGCACAGACATTACGGGCGGTCGTCAACCGCTCCTGTATTGGCTGCCTGTACGCTTTCTTTCCTCCCTTCCCTTTACTGTGCAGCCTTGTTTCGTCCGGACCAGGGTGTCAAGTGGAGAGAGGAGCGCGAGAATACATACTCCACAGGGACCCCGTAAAGTAGGTAGGAAACGACACGGAATTCCGTGACCGATCCACAATGGCAATCAGACATCCATGGTCGGTCACTTACCTACAAAGCTGGTCTCTTGCTTACTTGCTTACTTCTGGTGGCTTACTCACAGTACTCCTTTGGACTTATTGACTCCCTCGCACTCACATTGATGTACAGTACTGTACATGAGAGTCCCGAGGTTCCGTCAACCCGCACGCGCATACATGCATGCATGGCGTCGATCTATGCCGTCTGATGCTGTAGCTCCTCAGAGGGCTCGTCGGTTCAGGAGGTGATCTCCCTTGCCACTCATTGATGTAATGCGGTTGGCATGGCATGCGCTGCGGTTTTTATTCCTGACGATTGTGTAGACCGTGCTCTCATGCCCCAACGGTTAAGTCGCCTCACGAGGCGGTAGCCCTTTTGTCGCGCAGTAAGGAGAGCACTCAGTATTCTCCTATCTACCTACTTGTAACTACTCCCCTTCCCTTCCCTTCCCTCCGTACCGCCTACTTTCTGGGCGCTAGAGAACTCACTTCGCTGTAACCCGTGCTCACCTCATCCTTTTGCCGCTCAAGAAGAGATAATCCGCCATAGCGGCTTGAACCCACCTCTCCAATTTCCGTGCCTTGCTCTCTCCCCATTCGGTCTCCCACTTCTTCTTTTCGACCTCAACATCGACAACCTGCCCTGCCGCTTTGGCGACTTGGACTCCATCCGACGCAAGGAGCGTGGATAACATGGTCTGCATGAGAGCGGACATGGTCTTTCGCTCTTCCACGGACGTGGCATCCCACTTGAACTTCAGGTTCGAGACGTCCATGCCAATCTGCCTGGCGAGACGCTCTACAATCACCGGCGCGGTGATGATATCGTCGGCGTCCAGCACGATAGGCCACTCAAGGAGATGCTGCTGAGATCGTGGACCATCGTGAGCCCCATCCTCACCCTCACCCTCATCTGCTGTCTTTGTTGGGGAACGCTCTTTATTCCCAACAGCACCATCTTTTGCGCAATAAAGCTCGTATAATCGCCGAGTAAAATGCAGCGTGAGGTACAAGTCCAACCACCTTTCTCTACCACCAGAGGGGTCGTCATCCTCATCCCCTTCCAGCACTCGGAAGATCCTGTAGAACGACGGGAACGAGAGGGCCGGATGACGAATGAGAAAGATCGGCTTCCATGATTCGAGGGTCTCGTCCGGGAGGACCGTGTCGTTGAGGGCAGAATAGTTGCCAACTTCTCCGACGGTGGTGGAGAAATCCCACTGTTCCAGGTCTTCCGACTTGATGGGTACTTTGCCGTTGGCGTTACCAAAGACGAATCTCTGTTGCGCCAGCGGGTGGAGTAAGCCTTGGATATGTTCCTTGACGAAGACGGTCCTTCCCAAATCCGCGCCTTTGGAAGCGGTCTTTTCTAGCTCGACGAACCCATCGCGATAAATTTGCTTCAGGCGGTCGGCCAGTCCGTCCGGCCAGCTGTCGAGGGGCGCGGCCCAAGCGTTGGAATCTCTGATCACTTGGGCTGCGGGCGTGAAGAGGTATCCTGCCAGGGCGTTTGGGGTGTAGATTTTGAGTTGGTTGGGGAGGTTGAGTATGCGGATGAGCAGGTTTGATGCTGTGCGCGGGTAGGTCACCAAGAAGACGCGATGACAGTTCGCATCGGACATCTTAATAAAGCTTATGGTTCATCTAGATGGCGGTGTTGTAGCCTATTCGAACAGATTGGCGTACTCCCCTTCTTTTTGGGGGAGAATAAAGCTCGTGGCAGCGAGCCGGAGTTGATGAGGGCGGGAGCAGAGTATAGATAGATGCCTTCCATCTCTACGCGCAGTACGGTGATTAGTGAATAGCAACGCTCTCAGGGGAAGCATCTAGGTGGAAAGGCCACCCACAAGCATCCAAAAGCAGATCTTATGTCAGCAGGAAACCGTCCGAAACCAGATCATTAGCGGGGAGTGCACGACATTGCTCGTCCAGGAAATCAAGACTCTGTTGTCAAAGGCCGTATTACTGCCCTCGCTTGGGCGTGCTGTAGGTTGAAGTCGATTATCTCCAGGCCCTTGCTCGGATTGGCGGACTGAGGCCGGATGCGTTGTGACCATCATTGGAGCAATATTCAGTATAGCCGTGCAGCGAACCAGGCTGGCTATCCAGACTTCCAAGTTTGTCATTTCCTCTCCTGTCGTTCTCGATCCCGTCCAGAGAAGATCGACCTGAACCGTTCCCTCGTCCTGTCCAGGAGCAATATAGTCGGTACATTCCAGGCTTTTCGGAGTTGGGGTCCATTTTCCGTACTGTTCAGGCGCCAATTGCTCGATTTCGGCTTGATCCCGTGCAGATTTGATCTTCGCCACGATAGGAGTAGTGTATATGTTGAAGGCGATAGTCAGGCTCCACGAGACGGTAGCGAGTGCGTATAGCCACTCTGCCGGTGCCGCGAGCGCCATGATGCGGTAGCATTTCGTGCCCAGCGTCTAGATCTCGTTCAGTTCAGCGAGTATGTAACCGAAGATGGCAATGTTTGTCATCACTGCCAAAGCTCTCGTTTATTGTCAGAAGAGCTCTAACCACCCTCAAATCAGGCGTCCGGAAGCCGACAAAAACTTACGGAGAGCAAAGATTAGTGTGATGATTCTCCAACCCCTCAACACCCTGATCACATCAGTCTGCCGAACTGCAGGGGTATTTCGAGCGATCATAGTGATCAATGAGCATAGCGGTCGTCTTGACGCAGAATACCGTGATCGCTTTGATTGCGTTTACTGTCAGATGGAGGTGCTTGTCAGGAGTTGATGCTGCGAAGACCGCGCGAATGTTCTGTCCGGCTCCGCTGACCCTGATGAGCAGTCCCGGTCTCCGCGTCTGCCAGCCAAGCGGTTCATCTTGACAGAAATGAAAGGTGATCGCAGTTGATATGATGCCAAGGATGACGATACAAAAAGTCATGGTCTGTTAAAGTGCTAGCTTTGGAGACTCGACACAGCTGATGAATGGGAAAGCGGCGTAGATATCAGCGACTCGAGGCAGTGTTGCACTGGTGATAGGATCGGCTGGGAGTGTATAATAGGCGCAAAACAGAAATCACAGAAGGAAGACTTCCAGAAATGCGGCAGTAATAGGCAACACCGCACGGAGAGTATCCCTGTGATCTCAGAGGTAGTCAAGTATTGGCGTCCACGGCCGCACGTTTCTCATTGACTTTCGCTGAACGTGTGCCCAGTTTCTCTTTCATCGCTTAACGAAGCCATCGACTTTCTGCCCCAAGGTGTCCGCTTGGACAATTTCAGGAGTATAGTCATCGAGAAAGGCAGAACCTTCGATCGCGTAGTAACTGTTGCGCTGTGCTGTCGAATGTCATCGCAGTGAAGACGTCTGCCATGGTAAGCTCTTGTGGGAGGCATTATTGGATCAGCAATGAGAACGATTAAGAAAGCAGAACGCTGTTAGACACAAAGTCGGTAATGATGCAGCAAGACAGTAGTCTCACTTTGAAGTTGATGCGACTGTGGTCCATTGGGAAGCCCGTCATGGGAAACTGATCACATACCAGCCAGTGCAGGGCGTTCACAGCGTCCCTTAGTCCATGATCAGCTCCAAAGATGGCGGTTACCTTTTGAGCCCAAAGATGACGAGCCACTGCTAAATTTCCAAGCTTCTGTACCTAAGCTGGGGAACGGCCGCTTTTTCACAAGACGTGGTTGGACCTGGGTACGACAGAGCGAGAGTAGCTTCAGCCCGATCCGTAATCTAGAGCCGAAGTCGAAACTCAGCCCAATGGACATAGACTCGGATGGGCTACAGCGGGAGGTTGGAAGCCCAAAGCCAAGCATTGTTGTCGACTGGCCGGCCTGGTTGATCAGTGCACCCACAGAATGCATGCCACCTTAGCACTTGTTGCTCAACAAGTTCTGTCCCTGTCCGATTAAGCAGTATTTATCCACAGCCACTGCGGTCGGCACAGTAGACACAGTGTCGCAGAGATGCCCATTCTGTTCATCTGAACAGTCGCCTCCCAGAAGCACCGTCCCCGACTCTCCAAGCAGCAGGCCCGGTTACCCCCAATAAGCCATGGCTAAGGCCTTGAAACCCTACACCGCCGCCTTCGCCGTCATTCTTGTACCTGCGTAAAGCTTCTCGGAGGTGATCCGGTAATAGACCTCCCTTGTGGGGATTAGGAATGTATTCCTTGACTTCCCGTTTCAATCGCTCGATGTCCCTGGCGATCGATCGGGACTGCGGGTCGGCGTCGTTGGCTTCCCTACGCTTCTCCTCCAAGACCTGCAATTCCTTTTCTCGTCGTTCTCGCTCCTCCGTTCTCGTATCCTCGTATGCCCTCGCCCACTCAATCTGTACCTCACGTGCTCTCTCTACAATCTCGCCGACGAACCACTTCCCGTAGATCCTGATCGCTTGGAGAGGGGCCGTCGTCACCGACTGGGACACGATGGAGTTGACAAGTCGTTTTACAGTCGAGTTGTTAAGCGAGAGCGCCCGCCACTGGTTGTACCTTGCATATTGATCCGGGTCAAGAGTGTCGGCGAGCCGTTCCCGACGCTGCTCCTGACGAATTTCTTCTTCTTCGGCTTGCCGCCTTTCCTGTTCGTCCATGTTCTCAACCAATTCATCAATGTCACCATCGTCATCCTCTTCCTGTTCAGCTGCGCCTGACCTTGCACTGACCACTGATTTCGTCCCGCGATGTGCTGCCCTTTCACTGCCATCGACCTGGCTTGTCGTATCGCCAGGAATCTGGTGGGTAGAGCGTACTTCGTCCAGATCAAGTTGAGCCGACTTCCGTGGCCTTCCCCTTCCACGACCTTTCACTTTGCCGCTCAGTCCGGAAAGCAGACTGTTGGCGACACTGCCGGTCTCAGACCGGGCGCTTGTGACTGCGGACCCATAGCGTCCGCTCGCATCTTGGGCGGGAAATGAGGTTTGCCGGAGAGGATGCAACTTGGGTCTCTTTGATGTGCCTTGCGCGGAAGTCTGAGAGCTCATCGAGGCGCGCTTCTTGGGGTTTGGGAGGCTTGCAGGAAACGAAGCTGGAGGGGAGCTCGCCATGGTCGCGAGGGTTTCTGCGAAGTTGGGGTGGTAGACGTCGTCGGTAGACTTATGGAATTGAAGAGCAACTAGGTGCAAATCTATCGTCTAGGCGGGCCTGGTAGATGCGAAGAAGGTGATGACGCCGTGACTTATACCTGTACCATTTCTGACGGTGTTAATTAGATGAAGGTGCGAAAGGCGAAGTCGACAGTGGCGCCGATTTTGGCAAGTTGGACCGAACTTCAGCCTCGCCCATTTCCGCAAGGCTGTGGGACACAATTGTCCCTCTCGGAACCTCGGACTCACCCTCCCTCAATTAGCTGGAGTACGAGTAGTATTCATGTCTCATTATCAGATGAGTGACCCAATATTATCGGATAGGGCGGGAAAGGTGTAAAATTCTACAGATTATTGTGCCCCTACATCAATGTTTGGAAACTGCGGATTGTCAATCGAGAACTAACAATAGTGGCAAGCTTTCTCTCAAAATCCAACGATCGACTACTGATACTCTTGAAAGAGTGGAACAGGCCACAAGGCCAGCAAGACGGACAACTTATTGTGGTCCAATGGAAACGGCGCAGACCGTCACGACCTCTCTCACTTCTCGAGCTCCTCCACCGATTACATTCGCCTCCCCTGCCATCACGCCGTCCTCACATGCCATTTTCACCAATGCGTGGCGCACCGCCTTTCCAGTCATGGCGCTCGTAGTATCGGAACACCAAGTCATAGCCATCCAAATCGTGAACTATCCTATCGACGCGACGGTACCCTTTGATAGCATCCATTTTTGTGTTGCGACGAGCGGCTTGTCGCTCCAAGATTCTGATTTGTGCGAGCTCATCATGATCAGCACAAAGCTTCTCCTCGTAGCTTGACGTGGCCTCGAACAAAGTGACGGAGAAGCGGCCTGGCTTAAAGATGTCCACCACATGCTGGATGATATCGGTGGTCTCACGCCCCTTCTGGCCACAGGGAACATTCGTCTCGAAGGAAGCATAAGAGCATATTGGTTCCGGCGTGACATGGACAGTGAAGTAGTGTGTCCCTCTTCCGCCATCGGCTGCTGGGATGACGCCGTTGGCTGAGAACCCGCACGGAGTGAAGAGATAGGCATCGACCCTTGCGTCAGGATATTTGTCCACTGGGTAGACGTTGGAAAGACCGCATGAGTCAGACACAACAGTGCCGAGAGCATGGCCTTCGGTGGTGAGTTCGGACGGATAAGCCTCCTCCTTGACGGAAATATCGGTGTCGTCATCAGAAGCGTTGCTGAATACATCGACATGATCATCTCTTCCTCTCTGCGATCCTCTCCACTGATCTTCTGCGACCGCACTCGCATGGTCGAGGTAGAATTGCCTGGCATTCTCCTCGTCCAAATCAGTCATGAGAATCTCCAGAGTTTCGTCTTCACCTTGGCAAACCTTCGAGCCACGGTCGACCACAAAAGATGTTGGTAGATCCAGAACTTTTGTCTCTGTGCCAGGGCTATCCATGCTTCTTGGGCTCGCAGGCGGTGTTAACATCGTGTATGGTTCGGTCAAATAGAGGTACCAATGCTCGCCGTTCATCTTGCCGATCATGTAAGCACTTCCTCCTACGAAGAGTTTGTCCAGAGTCTGCACTTCATTGCGCCAGCTGCGGTGTGGCCCATGTTGGCGATCAGGGAACAAGTAGTTCTTCCGGCTGTAGAAAACGCGGTACGGTGCAGCTGCAACACTAATGCCGTTGGAAGGAGGTGCAGTGGCCTGAGCAAATCCTCCGAAGAGCACCGCGATCTCGAGGATGCGTGGAAGACCACATAGCAAAGTGGTTGTGCCGCATGTCTTCAAGATGAGCTTGTGAGGGAAGACGAACATGCTCGACTCGGAGAGGAGATAAGCATCGACATCTTCGGACTCAATGATGGACAAGACTTTGCAATTGACCAGATCAAGCATTGTCTTCCACACTTCGGCGGGGACAGCCTTGAGTCCCGTCGACTTCGAGCAGCCCTGGAGGGCTTCGGGCGATGGACTGAACCATACTTCTAAAAGTTTCTCGGGGCCTACATAGCGTCAGACACAAGCTACCTGTACGAATGCAAGGACTCCTTACCTTCGAATGCATTGCTAGAATCAAGATCTAGTGCAACTTCATGATTGATAGTCAACGATGGCGTGTGACTAAAACTCGATGGCGAAGTTGTATAATTCTTGGGAATCCCAATGTTTACCATATCCTTGTCGAAAACGTGGACGAAGTCCCTTGTCTGGAGAGAGTTGAAGTGGTTTGGCAAGAAGGCGAAGAACCACTGATCTGATGAGTCAGTGAAGCACTATCTGCCACCCAGACGAACAATGCGGTGTCCGCCTGAGAAGAGAAGGCCCACTATGCGGTGGGAGGATGGGAGGCTGGCTTTTGCCAGCAGCAGTGTCTGAGTGATATGGAAATCCCTTCTGAAGGGTCGTTATGGAGGCCTGGTAGAGGAGAGGAGGAAGAAGATTTCCTGCACGAACGGAATCGTGGGCAATATTTTAAACCTCTTCCGGTCGAAGGTCGATACCTGTCAGGATATCGATTGGGATATTGTGCTTTTTCAAGATGCCCTCCCTGGAAGACAGTCTGATGTGAGGTCGATCTGTTTTGGTTCTCGCAAGTAGCTGGTGTTATCGGGGCCTGGGTTGGGGTCAGCGGCGACGTTGTCTGTCTGGGAGGGAAACATACTTTGCTGGCTTTGACAGGAATCGTAGTAGATCTTTGCGGCTCATAGAGATGCTACTAGAATTCACTGGAGATAAGAGCGGCTGCCACAGCCTTCAACGAGGTCGAATCGCGGACGTGTGAATTTCGCCAGAACTGCGATTGATGTGGGTGGTGAAGTTCGTGGGTTGGCTGAAAAAATGCCTCAGCGAATTTCGTTTCCCAAGGCTGCTCGATCGCGAGTAAGTGAACAGGCTGGAGTGGACGTCAATCTAGACGGGTAGACGAGAGCAGCGATGAATAATAATGTGTGCACTTGGACGAGCTCGAACCTGAAAATGCGCGGTCGGGGTGTCGAGAGAGGCAAATTTGTGTGGCTTCACTGTTGATGTTGCACCGGAAAGAGCAGCTGTCTTTTTGTGTGACGCCGTTGGGAAGTGGGCACTGAAAACACCGCCTGTTCGAAATTTTGGGCGCGGGAATGAAAGAAGCACCCAGTCAGATGCCTGCAAACACCGCCGACTCGCGCCGATGACATGCATCCCGACGAAGAGAAAGCCTCGACTAGCGCCGACTGGGCATGGCTGCGTCATCCTTCAATTGATTCCGGAAGGACCGAAGTGATTTCTACACGAGAAGACAGTCAATATCGACATGGCGATATGATGAGTGAAAGGTCAACAGCATCGCTTGCCTAGTCCCATCGGCCGACTGTCTGTCTGTGTACACTGCCGGGCAAACTACAGATACCATTACCTGAAACGTCTTGCTACGAGAAGCACGTGCTCCATCTTTCCTCGATGTCTTAATGGCACATGCTCGAGAGGAACTCCTCCACGCACAATAGGCCAAACGGTGGTCTCGAACAGAACAGAACCATCAGGCTCCTCGAAGCCAACATCGCCGACCCCATATCAGTGATGCAGCACGAAGCCGTCTGACCTTAATCTAGTCTTGTAAACCACGCACGGAAGGAACTTAGGGGGCAGATAGCATAGCATTATTGACCCGTCTCAAGCAACGCTCAAGCCCGCCAATGCCCTTTTTTTCGGTGCCTGGATGTTCTGCGCCACACCCCGCATCTCGATCTGACAGAGCCGAGGGGAGCCCAAGAGGAAGGTCTGCGAGGCTGAGCCACACATTAGAGGGCGGCCAATCGCACCTTTCGAGGCTGAGCTGCGAATTGGCCGCCACCCGTGGATGACGCCAAAGCCGCCGATCTCCACCTGCTTAACAATTCTTTTGTCGGCGCGGGCTGTTAGAAACGTCCTTGTCTGCGGTATAGCCCATCCACCTCAATTTGCTCGCACAGCTCCGTATATAGTGTGCCTGGAAATCACAGCTACTTCACTATGGGCCTTGAGAACATCAAGCACGTCATCCTCGTGCTATCCGGCAAGGGCGGCGTGGGCAAATCGAGTGTCACACTTCAACTCGCCCTCTCACTTTCTCAGCAGGGTCACAATGTCGGCATCCTGGATATCGACCTTACGGGCCCAAGCATACCTCGTCTCCTGAATCTGGAAGACAAGAAAGTCACTCAAGCTCCTGGCGGCTGGCTACCTGTGAAGGTGCATGATGCGAGAGATCCAAGTGACGATAACACAGCCAGACGGGGCTCCCTGCACGCCTTATCACTAGCATTCCTTCTACCGTCTCGTTCCGCGGCTGTTATATGGCGTGGGCCGAAGAAGACTGCAATGATTAGGCAATTTGTCTCGGACGTTATGTGGCCGCCGAATACAGACTATCTCCTCATTGACACTCCTCCTGGTACAAGTGACGAACATATTGCCATTGTGGAAGAATTACACAAGCTAGCGGCAGAAGTCCAACCTGCGGCGGTGGAAAATGGTATTGGCCTTCACCTCGAGATCGACCATAGACCAAAGTTGTCAGGTGCGGTGGTCGTCACTACTCCGCAGGCCATCGCAACCGCCGATGTGCGCAAAGAGCTGAATTTCTGCGTCAAGACACAAGTTCCTGTGTTAGGAGTGATCGAGAACATGGCCGGGTACATGTGTCCGTGTTGCGGAGAAATCAGCAATGTCTTCAGCAAAGGGGGTGGCCAGATTATGGCTAATGAGGCCAATATTCCTTTCCTAGGCTCCGTTCCTATTGATACTGGATTCGGCGCCTTGGTCGAGGGCGTTCAAGACGGTTCGAGCGTCGCAAGTACAAATACGCCAACAAATGGAGTTAACTCATCGGGTCATCAGACTGAGCTTGTTGAGCGATACAAATCTTGCGGCCTGTTTCCTATATTCTCGGGATTCGGTTCCAGCATACACCGGAAGATACAAGAAGTTTCAGGCTCCTAACCCCAACCTTGCCGTACCTTTCGTCGGAGATGAATGCCTCATCCGAGTCGACACCGAGCGGCCTTGGCGCCTTTGTATTTGTGCGGCCCCATTCTGCCGTCGTCCGCTTCTCAAACACATCGGCCTCAGAAGTTCTGCGCTTCGACCTCTGGGCCAAAATGCCGGGAGAAATGCAAAAAGCCTTGTGCCGATCAATCCTTCTGGCAATTTCATGTTCGAAATTTCGTTGCTGTCAGTGAGTCACAAATCTACGCAAGACACAATTCCTATGACCTTGTCCTCGATGTTCAGCCTTCTCCAATGCCTTTCGGCGTCTTTCCGGAAATGGGTCCAAGTCAGGCCGCGATCTACTATCCGGTTACTGGATGAGACTAACCAATACTTCGAAGCGTGCTTTTGCAGGTTGATGTGGGTCTTGTCCTGGGAATCGAAATCCGTGGATTTCACGTGCGGTTACACACTTAACGTGCCGTCTCTTCCACCTACCCCGATTCGGCCCCGGATTAGGAGATGACTATATGGGGTCCCCATAAAGGTGTGAAATGCCAAAACAGCAAGATCTGGTGCGTGAGGACGAACTCGCCTCTTTCTATTGTACTCGTCGCAAGCCGACTGCACCGCCATCACACCATGTTCCAAGATCTACGTGGATCGGCCTTGGTTTGGGCCATCACTCTCTCTTCAGGATCCTGCTATGTCCTCTTCGGCTATGATCAGGGGGTCTTGGGAGGGCTTGTCGCCCAGCCTTCTTTCCTCGATGCCATCGGCAACCCTAGCGCCAGTTATCTTGGGACGATTGTGAGCACCCGTGCATTTCAGTGACCCGCCGTCTTTGACCTCGTCATTCTCGCTCTGCTCATGGACGATCATTCTGACGGAGGCTCTCAGGTTGCGTTGTACAACATCGGCTGCCTCGCGGGCTGTATGGCTGCTGCGGTGTGGGGAAATGTGTTCGGGAGACGGAAAACAGTTCTCATTGGATGTTCCATCATGGTAGTCGGTGCCATTATACAAACGGCTACCTATGGCGCTGGTCAGCTCATTGCCGGAAGACTTATCTCCGGCCTGGGAAACGGATTGAATACGTCCACAATCCCCGTCTACGTCTCCGAGACAGCCCGGAGTCACCGACGAGGGCAAATGGTCGCCGTGCAGCTTTCGATCGTCATTGCTGGCATTGTGCTCGCTTATTGGATAGGTGAGTCCATTCGCTGAAGGATTGCCGCGTTTTTCAGGGACTTGTGGTCGACTCTCCGTCAGCAAGGGTAGATGCTAACCGATGTCTGCAGACTACGCGACAGTCCATACACTCACAGGAGAGGTCGTGTGGCGCTTTCCCATTGCATTCCAGAATGTCTTTGCTTTGATCACCATGGCGACCATGCCGTTCCTCCCTGAAACTCCCCGATGGTTGTACTCTCATGGTCGCAAACCAGAGGCGGTTACAGTTCTGGCGAGGCTCATGGATACTACCGAGGATGATGAGCAGGTTCAGTTTATCAAGAACGAAATGGAAGAGGCTCTTGAGCTTGAGAAACAACAACCGAGCTTCAGTTTGAAGCAACTCGGCGAGAAGAGTGATCTCAAGCCCCTGCGGCGGTTGGTCCTGTGCTTTATGGTGCAGTTCTTTCAACAGTTCACGGGCATCAATGTCATCGTCTTCTACGTCACAATTGTCCTGGAGCAAAACATGGGGCTATCCAGCAACACCAGCAGCCTCGTCGCTGGTTTCATCCAGATTGCCTTCTGGGTTGGCACTCTACCTCCGATTTATTACCTGGACAAGTATGGTCGCCGGCCCACCCTCCTGATTGGTTCCGTCGTCCTGCTGATCTCACTTGTACTCTTCACGGCCGGCATCGCTGTCAATACCGACTCCTCCAACAATTTGGCGTTAGCGATGCTCATCCTCTTCCAGATCACCTTTGGCATGTCGTGGAATGCTACGCCCTGGATCTATGCGCCTGAAATCACCCCACTCCAGCTCCGCCACGTCGGTTCAGCTGTAGGACCGTTTTCTGAGTGGCTTTGCACATTCGTAAGTTCTCTCCACGCGCGCTCACAATTGTCATGCTGACGGGCCACAAGGTCATTGTGCAAATGACACCTACAGCTGTCGAGCATACCGGCTGGAAGATATACCTTCTGTTTGTGATCATGACGGCTTTAAGCATTCCATATGTCTACTTCTTTCTGCCAGAGGTAGGGAACCTTCGCCAATCTTGTCGCTTAATGAGACTCCTGCTGACTCCCACCAGACCACCAAGATGACGCTGGAAGAGATTGACTATATTTTTGTCAAGGGCGAAGCTCGAGAACGCCTTCATGACAGAGTTCAGGAGACGGGAAGAAGAAACTCACTTGCTGGGAAGTCGGAGAAGAATGCAGAGGTCACAGAACAGAAGACTGAGTATGTAGATCCAGGGCGGGCGTGTTGAGGGTCCGTTTGGCGTGAAAGTCGCTTCTGCAGTTGATGCATCGTCCACTTGGACACCAATGGCTTCCTCTTACGGCCATTGACGAGGGACATGGCCAAACTGTGCTACCGAGAACCTTCCCTCGGTTTTACTCTTTCGGAGGAGCCGCTCGGGCGCAGAATTCTGTGTCACTGTGAAGCCGAAGCAAGCCATACTCTGTTGGCTTCTGCTCACACTGGCCCAGAATGATACTCGAATTGAAGCGCCGTGCGCTAAAAGGTTGGCCCCGCATATTCAACGGTGGCCGATGATGCATCCTGTGAACGGAGCATCCAGCATACATGGCTGAGACATGGATAATTACCAATGCTAGAATTATAATCTGCAGGAAACGCGTCCCGTCAGCTCTGCAGCCTCGGATGTAATCCGACTGGGTAGTTCGCCTGTACGAGGTAGACGTGCGACAGGTATATATGAGGGCGTACATCTCCCTTGCTTGCCAGTTCTTTTCGCCAAAGTCATTGACCAAAGGTCCCATATGACCAGGTCCCGAATCGGTGATGGAGTCGAGCCGGCACCTGCAAGGTTTCAGGATGACTGGTTCGAGAATCAAGATTATGAGGCGCCGATGATGCAATGAGAGGCCTGCCTGTGTGGGGAGAAGTGGGAGATATATGCATCTCGAAGTCGAGGCTTCCGGCATGTAATTTACGAGTACCCCATTGATTGATTGACGAATGGTCGGGATCAATCGTCTCCCAGTACTCCGTACCGTGTTCAGCTATAGGTCAAAGCTCGTTCAGGCCTGTCCTTCCAATATTATTATTAATTTTTTAGTATTAGATATTCTAATGTTTTATATATTTTTTGATGTGAAGAGAAAGATGATTTTTATCTTGTAATGCTAAAGATATAGGAACATTATACTTAATGTTTGCAGATGGGCGATTTGTGGTCAAACGAAGTTAGCTTCGAGCTTGCTCAAACCGTCATTTGTCTCATTCTCGCTTGAACTTCATCTCACATTTGCCTCAACTCAATCTCACATCGGCTTTCCTTGATCTTATCTCTGCTCCGACGTCTTGTTTTCCTCGCACTGATACCTCACTGTGGTTGTGACCAAGTGCAGCCAGGAGTATGAAAATGCCTATCATCTTCCACTGAACGTCAAGCACGGGTCCGTCACTGGCGCTGTTTCTCTAGGCAGCTCAGATGTCGCGCCACTCCGACGGTCTCTTTGCTTACTATGGCACGCTTATACATTCTATCACCCCTTCTAAGCTTGAGATTCTTCAAGATACAATTATCGTCGTTGACGGAGAGGGTAGTATAAGTCTAATCAATCCGCAATTTTCAGTCGAAGGTGGCCAAGACCTTCAGGATGTGATCGCAAAATTACTCAAGCAACCCAACACTCGCGTACGTGTCACGACCCTGAAACCTCATCAATTCATCGTGCCAGGATTCATCGACACCCATGTCCACGCACCTCAATTCTCAATGCGCGGCCTCGGCCAGGGCTTGCACATACTTGACTGGCTTGACCAAGTTACGTTTCCACACGAATCGAAGTTCTGTGACAAGGACTATGCCACCGAAATCTACACAAGGTGCGTACAAATGGGACTCCGCCAGGGAATCACGACTGCCTGCTACTTCGCCAGTCTCCACACGGAGGCGACAAAGATTTTAGTGGACGTGTGTCTGCAGAAGGGCCAGCGGGCATTTGTCGGCAAGACGTGTATGGACCATCCAGAAACGAACCCAAGTTATTACAGGGAAGAAACCGCCGAGGCTGAAGCGGGGACGGAAGAGTTGATTCAGCATTGTCGAGCCGTTGATACGAATGGGACCTTTGTGCGGCCCATCCTGACTCCGAGATTCGCGATAAGTTGCACTTCAGAATTACTGAGTAGGCTGGGAGGGTTGGCGAAAGAGCACGAGCATGCTTACGGTGTAGGAAGGGGCATTCCAAACCAAACACATTTTTGTGAAGCACGACAAGAGATCGAGGCCACGCTGAAGCAATACAAAAATTTCAGCTGCGAGGCAGACCTCTACGAGCACTATGGTCTGCTCAACAGCAACTCCGTGCTCGCTCACTGTACGCTTCTCGGTCACGACGACTTGGCGAAAATCAAGCAGCGAGAATGTGGCATAGCACACTGCCCGATTTCAAATGTCACCGTCGGAGGTGGGTTCATGGCTGCGCCAGTTCGAAAATTCTTTTCCGAGGGGATTACAAAAGTTGGACTTGGAACCGACTCCGGTGGCGGATTCTCATGTAGCATCATGGATGTGATGCGCCAAGCATTGATTGTCGGCAATGCACGAGAGATGCTATCGGAGGGGAATGAAAGGCGGTTGGGCCTGGAAGAAGTGTTCTATATGGCGACCCTCGGCGGCGCGAGAGTCCTGGGAATGCAGGACAGAGTCGGCTCGTTCGAAGTCGGCAAACAATTCGATGCGATTTTGGTGGACATGCAGGATCCTTACTGTGGCCCGCACGACGACTTCGACGCCGTCCACACAACCACCCTCGACGAGTTCGGCGACAACACCATCGAAGCGAGCACCAAGGTATGGCAGAAATGGATCATGTCAGGAGACGACAGAAACCTGAGAAGAGTTTGGGTTGGTGGTGAGATGAAAAAAGACACTTACCGGGCTGGTTATTGGTGATGGACGATCCAAAGCGCAAATGGTTTGGATGAAGAGACATCCCACTTGGACCATGTCCAAGCATTGTCTCTGTCAGGTCAATTGCTGTCTGCTCTGGCCTCATCTGAACGTACGGATCGCGCCAGAGGCCACATCAGTCGAAGGGGCCGATGCAGGCCTTGATGGCCATCGATGCTTCGGGAGATATCATCGAACGAGAGATCGAGATATCCCATTGGTTTTCTGTCTTCATGCTCGAGACCTTACAGCCTAGACATGTGGCGTGGCCAGATCTCCATACTGGTATGCGACATCCTACTACATGCTTGGAATATCTACTCCGAGTAGACACCCCCAAGAGCTACAAATGCCACATGCATGCGGCAACAAGATCAGACGCCAAGAAACACCGTGGATCACAAATCGTGGCGACGCAAAAATATATGCGCCAATGCAGTTCTCCTCCCTTGTCTCCTCCTGCCCGAAATCTCTCTTATTGGCGCCGAATCAGCTCTACATCTCCTTTTGCTGCTATTAAATTGGACGCCCAGGCTCGTTGCGTCCGAAATGGAGCGCACGGCTTGTGAACGATGCAAACGAATCGGAGCCCCGGATGGCGTCATCTTGAGTCCAGCCAGATTGCTTGCCCATGTTTTTTGGCACTGAGGATCTTCCACTGTCCAGGTTGGTTCACGTCCTGTTTCTCGGCATTTCTCTGCGCAAGGACTACCTCAGAGGATATGGGAAACTTTAAACACTAACACTGTCGCCATGCCTTCGTCCAGAGGTACCCCGTCTAACCATCGTGATTGGGGTGCCAGCTGGCTTCTGGATCTCTGCACCGCGATCGCAAGCGAGACGCTCACGCCTGGCTTTGCAGAATCCTAACTCTTGCAAGTCTAGACTGGATAGCAAGTCCCTATCACGAAATCATCCCACGAGATGTCGTGCCACGCCGAAGTACAGCGAGCGGCATTGCAAGTTGTGAAGCCGGAATGTCGCGATACGGCCAAGATCAGCTTCCCGGTGCAAGTCACCGACTCGGATCAGCATAGACGTCCCCTTCGCATATTTAAATGTCCTCGGGCCTGGCAAAATCAGACTGGTTTAGCACAGCGTTGTAGAAGCTGAACCTGGAACAATGGCTACTGTTCTGACTCGAACCATTCGGACTGAGACGGACGACTTAGTCGTCAAGAGTGATGGCTTGGCCAGCAGTCCGTCTGACTCTAAGGAAGGTATTCTTCTGAACAGTGCGGCAGTCGAAAACCTCAGCCTTGGTGTCCCTGCCGACGAAAAGAAGTTCTGGTGGCAGCGTGGTAGAGGATACGACCCCGATGCCATCGCAACGCTCCCTTCTGTCTTCGATGACCCGGAAACAGCCAAACACTATCAGCCACGCGCTGACTGGGAGAATCTGCATCGATTCGATCCCTCCGCAAGATGGACCTGGCGCGAAGAGTATGCGGTCATTCGCAAGATCGACTGGCGGATCATGATCTTTGCTTGTATCATGTTTATGTCTCTGGAGTTGGACCGATCCAACCTGACACAGGCTGTGACGGACAACTTTCTTGAAGATCTTGGCATGAACACGAACGGTACGTGACTATACCTCAAGAGACACTTGACATACTGACGTATCTAGACTATAACTGGGGAAATACTGTTTTCAAGCTTAGTTTCCTTTGCGCCGAGCTGCCCTCTCAGCTGGTCTCCAAATGGATGGGCCCTGACCGCTGGATTCCCACCCAAATGGTTCTGTGGTCTATAGTGGCAGGTGCACAGTTTTGGCTCTCCGGCCGCAGCAGCTTTCTTGCTTGCAGAGCTTTGCTTGCACTATTACAGGGTGGCTTCATTCCTGACGTATGTCACCCGTCCCCTGTGCAAGCACGAACTGACCTTCGTTCAGATGATCCTCTATCTCTCATACTTCTACAAACACGGTGAACTCTCACTCCGGCTGGGATTCTGGTGGACGGCAATGTCTATTGCCGATATCATCGCGAGCTTTTTGGGGGCTGGCTTGCTTGATCTCCGAGGACACCTTGGCTACGCTGGATGGCGGTGAGTCTCCCCCAATCGCCTCTGCGATGAACCCAATACGATGCCTGGTTGCTAACAGGAGATAGGTGGCTGTTTCTTATCGAGGTGAGATTTTGTCTGCCCTGGTTCTTGGAGTCCAATTAACTCGTCCAGGGGCTTTTGACTCTAGTGCTAGGGCTCATTGCGTTTGTCTTGATGCCTCCTAGTCCTACACAAACTGCCAACTGGGCACGAGGCAAGAAGGGATGGTTCACCGAACGGTAACGCCCGAAGAAGAAGCACCTTGAGACCCTTTGACTCACGATATCACAGCGAGGAGATCATCATGGTCAACCGCATTATCAGAGAAGATCCGAGCAAGAGCACTATGCACAACAGGCAGCCGATCACTCCAAAGCTGCTCTGGCAGAGCTTGACGGATTATGACCTATGGCCATTATACTTGATCGGACTGACCTTCCAAATCCCGATGAGTGAGTTCTGAACGCCACTGTGTCCCACGTTGTACTGACCAACTAGTCACACCCGCTCAATACTTGACCCTTACTTTGAAAGGGCTGGGTTTCGGTACAATCAAGACAAACTTATTGGTCATCCCGTCAACTGTCGGCCACATCATCACAATGTTGGCCGTCACCTACCTCTCCGAGGTGTCTGGGCAGCTCTGGATCTGGGGTCTGATCGCGCAGCTATGGGCTCTGCCGTTCCTGTCTTACATCTACGCCGTCAACATCAATTCGATCCCTAAGTGGTCGGCCTTTGGCATTATGACTGTGCTTCTTGCTTATCCCAGCACACATGCAGTCCAGGTGGGATGGAACTCAAGAAACTCGAACTCGGTACGCAGCCGGACTGTGAGTGCTGCCATGTACAACATGTGTTGTCAGGCGGGTGGTATTATTGCAAGTAACATATACCGTCAAGGCAAGTCAATTGACCTGATGGCGTCCTTGCTGCGACGACTGACCATGTCTCATTAGATGATCGCCCACGGTATCGCCGTGGAAATCGTGTACTTCTTTCCATCTGCGCCTTGAACGTTGGCATCTACCTCTTTGCTAAGGTCTACTACGTCGTCCGAAACCGACGCAGAGACCGAGTGTGGAACGCTATGACAGAAGCTCAGCGTGCTGAATATCTCACAACGACAACCGACAGGGGAAACAAGCGCCTAGACTTCCGCTTTGCCAGCTAAGCACGACGTTTCCCAAGGCAATATTCACATATGACACACGGCACAAGGAGACAGACTGAAGTATGAGGATACATGGGGTGAGCGCTACCATTCTCAGAGAGCACCGTTACACCATAACAGAGGCAGATGAGGTCTTGTTACATAGAACACTGATAAAACAGAATTCAATGGATATGATACAGATACAATCTAAGAGAGCACCGTAGAAGAAGCTGGGACCGGAGAAGCTCCTCGAGCATTATCATCCCTGGTGGCTTTGTCCTTGGTCTTTGCTTCACTGATTAGCACAACAGTTCATCACGGCAATCTGCATTCGCTGAACCAACGACATGTGCATGCCAATAATCCTTGAACAAGATCTGTAAAGCCTTTCAGCCGTCCATGATTCGGCACCTCCCAACGACAACCCAGCATCTCCTCTTTCTTTGGCCCACCTGTTCGTTATCAGCCGGCCCTGAATGTCTGCCCGATTGTCCATCTCATGCACATGTCTCGGGCCACGACCATCTGCACGTCCGGCGAATGTCCGCTGAACACAACAACACGACAGCATTGCACCATCTTGAGCCCTGATTTTGCCTTCGCCAACGATGGTGGTGCAATATCCAGGTCTTCTGACGAAATGCTCAACCAGTAGGCCTATCTTTTCGGCTCAGCTCTGAGATCTGCAATGTCGACGATATGGCGCCATGGGATCCCATATGGTGTAACCACCTCCTCCGAGAACTCTGGACTTCATAGTATGTCCAGCTCAACCGTGGGTCCCTGACCCCTGGTCCGGTGCGCATATACACGCGAGCATTGGCGACAAACCAAGCTATGATAACAGCATTCCAGCATATCAGAACACAGCACGTTACTCATCCCATCAGTCAATTTACTCCTCTTCCCACCTGGGAGGGCTTGCACGAGAAACAATGACTGGGCAAGTCGGATACCGGCACTGAAGGCCAGAGTCGAGAGCGAGACGCCGGAAAGAACAGGAAGTCTGACTTGCTGAACGCTCACGTATATATCAACCCCGGGAGCCGTGTACATGTGGCCTGCCTTTCTTTCCTTTCTTCCATCGACCCCATCGTATTCTCGCCTTGACCACCCGACGACCACACCCCGTAGCCACAGCACTTACGTGAAGGCCACTGAAACTTCCAAACAACCAGTCAATCCAAGCAGCCATGGCACCACCGGCAGCGGACGTCGACCTCGTGTCTCACACGAGCACGGGACCCATCCAGGTCAAGAAGGTGGTCGCTCAAAGCGCGCTCAAAGAGCCGCTCACGTACTCGGGCTCCCTGGACGAATACAAGTCCTTCGACGTGACAAAGGTGATTGGAAGGGAGTTTCCGGACCTGCAGCTCAGCGACATCTTGCACGACGATCGGAAGATCCGCGATCTGGCCATCACGGGTACGTATGGGGTGGTGCTGCGATTGAACGTGACAGCGGGTGTGTTCTGAATGATTCGTGCGTGCTAACACCATCTGCATCGGCAGTGTCTCAACGTGGTGTCGTCTTCTTCCGCAACCAGGACTTGAGTATTGAAGACCAGAAGATCTTGGGCTCCAAGCTCGGCGAACTCACCGGCAAGCCCGAGACCTCCAAGGTACAGTGATCTCGCCCCTTCCCATCCTGCGTGGCTTCACAGTCACACAGTGCAACACGATGACCACGAGGGACTCTGGCTGACACCATCCCTGGCGTACGACAGCTCCATCGCCACGCTCTAAGCAACAGCAAGCGCGGCATTGCGGTCGACGAGAACGGCAAGCTCGACGATGAGGTGTCGATTATTTCTTCCGAGGTACGTTTCCCATCACAATAGTACGGTCCGGGTCAGTATGTGGCTGAACGGTGACACTGAATGTATTATGTCGTCCACCAGCAAAACCGCAAGTTTTACAAGGATCGGTTCTCCGCGCAATCGAAGCTTCTGGCCAGTCAAGGCTGGCATGCCGAGTAAGTGGGATCGACCTGATTGCACAGCTGGGCCGTGTGCCTCTGGGCTCAGCGAACTGACTAGCTACCCCCAGTATCACCTTTGAACGCATCCCGTCCGACTACGCCATCCTCAAAATCATCAAGAAGCCCGAAGACGCCGGGGGCGACACGCTCTGGGCCTCGGGCTACGAGCTGTACGACCGTCTCTCGCCGTCGTTCCAGAAGCTGGCCGAGAGCCTGACGGCCACGCACCACCAACCCAACTTCGTCAAAGTGGCGCGCGAGTTTGGCGAGGAACTCATCGAGCAGGATCGCGGCGCGCCCGAGAACACGGGCATCGACTTTACGGCATCGCAGTAAGTTGGTCGTGTTCCGCCCCACCCCCCCCCCCCCCCCCCCCCCCCCCAACTGGAAAGGAGCAAAAGCGGTGATCACGTCGTCGTCCTCGCCGCGTCCCCGCTAACGTTTTCGCTCATCTCCAGCCCGGTCGTGCGCACCAACCCCGTCACGGGCTGGAAATCGCTCTTCGGCGCGGGCCACCAGATCGAGCACGGCTGGATCGACGGCGTGACGCCGCGCGAGTCGGACATCCTGAAGGCGTACTTCCTGCAGCTCATCACGGACAACCACGACCTGCAGGTGCGGTTCCGGTGGAACGAGAACGATCTGGCCGTGTGGGATAATCGATCGGTGTTTCACACGGCCACGAACGACTATGACGGGAAGAGGCAGGGCAATCGCGTCGTCAGCCTGGGGGAACGGCCGTATTTTGATCCCAAGTCCGTGTCGAGGAGAGAGGCTTTGGGCTTGTGAGTTAGATGAGGCCATGTACTAGACATGTAGAAACGACGTGGAGCGACATGGGCGGGCAGACAGACAGGCAGGCGGCGGGTACGTAGGTAGGCATGTCGATTCTGTAGACAGGTCGGTCGGTAGTATGTACAGACCACATGCGGCTAGCTCCTTCACCGCTGTCATCCATGTCACTTGTGGGCTGAGAACAAAAAGGTACTTATATTGTATCGCCGGGACCCTGCCAAGGGTGCGGCCCAAGGTATTGATATTGATACTGCCATTAATTTCCATCGACCGGGAATAGATATCTTTTTCTTCATACAGCAGTAGTTCCCCCGCCCAGCATGCCATGTACTGCATAATTACGGTGTCCTTGACCCCAGACCCAGACCCAGACGTAGTAGGTTTATCTCGGTTCGTCTGCTGGTCGATCGATCGACTTGTTCCATCGATGGACGAACCAGTGACTAGTGACGAGACACGAGTGGAGTTTGATGGTACTGTACGAGTACAAGTATTCATATGGCAGGTGTTTAGGTATGTCAATAGTGAACGGTTCGCTTCCTTTCTAGTTTCTGACCCGTGTACTATGGTGTACCCTTGAAGTCATCTATCAAAACATACTATGTGGTTCCTCACCACTTCACAAAACCAATACAACCATACCATGTTTCTTATGTGGATGCTCGTAGTTAGGTTAGTAAGTTCCATGCAGTGTGCGAAAGAGAGTGCCGCCGCTTGCAACTTGCATTGGATCCAGGGTGTGTTTCGTTTAGACGACTTCATGGGTACACTATAGTATCTCGCGGGTAGAGCTATCTACCCGAAAGCCTCTTGCGATTCATGCATACATAGTGGACGACCGAGTATCGCTAGAGCTAGTACAAGTAGCTGGCTGTATACGAGTACCGTACTGAATTTAAAGCCGACTCGTACCCCACGATCGCTCCCTCTGACATTTGGGCTTACCCATTCAGGCAGTACAGGGGGCTCGAGCGGGCACTGCGGGGTACAGATGGTACCTAACTCGTACGAGTAGTACCAGTACGGAGTACGTAGCTTTGATAAGAGTGCGGGGAGAACGGGGACGCGGGGTAAACCGATGCCCCTGAATCAAGCAGGAGCATCACACTACTGTACCACTTCGGCAGTTCCCAAATGCTTAGGGGACAGTACACATCTGCTGTAGTGCCATCGTGCGACATGGATGCTGCTTCGGGGCCGAGACGGGCGGATGTGAATCCACTCCGTCCGATGTGCCTGACTACAGGTTGTGGTGCTGTGAGCAATGGACAAGGGCGAGAAGAGGGGAGACAGGAGATACACTGTCGGTGAATACCCGAATACGTCAATACCTACCTGTACCCTTACTGACACCAGAGGATAACCTTTGCAGTAGAGAAATTGCTCTGGAAGATACCACTTTGAAGACCATCACTCCCACCTGGGGGGTACTATGTCGTGTTATGTGTAGTGTGTTGATGTCTACCCTCACGCGCGGACCGCCACAAACAGGAAAGCTACATCAAGCTCCAGCTCAAGTTCGTGTGAGCTGGGAGATCCAGCCTCTAAGCTCTCTGTCTTTCCCAGGAGGTGACTGATAAGCCGAGTCAATGCGGCCATAACGAGCAAGCCATGCCCCCTGTACTGGAGCGCTGCAAGTGTACTTGGTCGACACCCCATCACAGGACTACCATTTCCCGTACAGATGCAGGTCACCGCTAGCGCTGCAGGATCCCCGGTCCGTGATCTGAGAGAGATGGGGCATTCGCTCCTTTCGGAGAACGCGCGCTGCAACTCACGAAGCAGTGCGGAGAACCCTGGACGTCGAGGGTGTGCATACGATAAAATGTAACGGTGTGCCCGTGACAACATACAGTATGGTCAGTGTCTGTGCGAGCTTGTCGCGGGCATTCGCAAGAACTGCTGCGCACCTACTCACCTCGAAATCCACCGCACGCCAGAGAGACCACAACGATGGGTGACGAACTGGCCGAGTTGAAGGCTGAGGTGAAGAGACTGCACGCAAAGCTGCAGAAGGTCGAAGGTGAGATTGTGGTCTAGTCAACGTCCTGTATAGCGAAACCGAATATGCTGAGTCAGTGGATTCTAGACGAGGCGGAGATCAGGAAAGTCCATTTCAAGTATGGCTACTATCTCGACAAATGTCTGTACCAGGAGGTCAGTCGGATCGCATTTGCGCTTTCGCCTCAAATTGGTGACATATACACTTACGAGACGGGCAGGTCGTTGACATGTTCTCCAACCACCCCGACGCGTACGTCGAATTTCTGGGCTCACGATACCGTGGGAAAGAAGGAATCCGTCGACTGTACATTGGGCGATTCCAGAATTTCTTCGTCAAGGGGCGCAATGGGCCCGTGTACGGCTTTCTGCTCGACCACCCTATGATGCAAGACATTGTGGACGTCGACGCCTCCGGGACTCGTGCGTGGGCCCGGATCCGTGCCCTCATGTCCGCGGGCACGCATCAGTCCATCCAGGAAGAACACCCTCGCGGCCACGCTCAATGGTGGGAAGGCGGCCTGTACGAAAACGAATATATCAAGGAGGACGGTGTGTGGAAACCGTTTCGATATCGGTACTTCCCCTTTTGGCACGCGGATTTCGAGCGCGGATGGGCACATACCAAGAAGAATTATATCCCTTGGCCGACGAAGACGTACCCGGAGGATCCGATCGGGCCGGACGAGTTGATCGAGCAGCAGATGTTGTGGCCGGATACGCGGTGCATTCCGTTCCACTATCCCCATCCTGTGACTGGGGAGTTTGTCAAAAGCGACGATTTGAGGGCGCCGAAGTACGGCGAGGATGTCAGTACCAGTTTGCCCCCCTTGAGTATTGCGTTGCCGAAAGATCAGTTGGAGAAGCTGGAGAAGGAGAAGGGGGAGACTGAGAAGGTGGTTAAGGAGAATGGGGTCATTGCGGATAGCACTGCAGTTGCTTGAGTTAGACAAGCCTGTGCGCAGAAAGTATGAGTTTCGAGTGTGCTTTCTTCTGGCTCTTTCTGATTTCTCTTTCACCAATTGTAAAGGCAACGAGAAGTCACTTCGGGTTCTGTGAGAGGACTTGTTGTCGCTTATTGGTAGATGCCGCAAGGCTGCTGAAGTCTGGGATGAGCGACTCACGGACGACGAGCTTTTCAAACCTGGGCCATTTCATGTACTTGGCCGGATCATGCTATGCGGTTCTCCAGGGAGTCCCAGATGGTGCAGGATACGTCGAGCTCATTCGCATGACAACGATTTCATGATGGTCTTGATCGTGGTTTCAGCCTGGTCTGATAAGGACGACGCCTGCAGATTTAGGATGAGAGGACGAGTCACGTGGTCGCCAGGCATATGCATTACGGCGGACCTCAGGGTCATTCTGGGAGAGCTACGGCAGGACACTGGAACAAGATATGATGGACACTTGACGGCTGCCGTGCTGGTTACGGTACCAACCACCACCCACTCTGGTCCCTTCTCATCTTCATTCGTCCCTCGAGAAGCAATAACCGCACGTTATCTCCTGGATGCTCTCGCAGCTAGGCTCCAACTCAGCGCCGAACACATATCAGATTCGTGACCTAACAGACAACGACGTGATTCTCTACCCCACAGCCCAGATCCAGAGCATTCAAGCATGCAGGAAGAGTTGGAGAAAGACGCGTTCCTGAATATCCATTCCAGAATCTGATAATGGATTACGGAAAGTCCAGAGCCGCTGCCGCATGTCTAGACCGGCAGTTCTCGCAAGTCCACATGCCGGCGTACGGAACATGAAGCAACCGACTTTCACTTTTGTCTAGATGCATGTTCCACCCCAATACGCGAGGTAGGTTAACATGATGAGAACGAACGCTGTAAGCGACGGACCGAGAAGATGTTGTCTGACCTACTTTGCGGTTACTGGTATATCTGCAGGGCGTCGTGCGGCGGATATAATGGACGATAAGGTGAGGTAAAAGGTTGCGTTGTACGCGTTCGACGACACCGGAGCTCATTGCGGCGGTTCATACACTCTTTCCCACTGATTCCATTCATACGCGCGGGAAGACAATCACAATGGCGCACATCTACGACCTTGCGCCCCAACTCGTGCAGTCGTACAAATCAGGCATCAAGAGCAATCCACTCCCCGTCAAGTACCCCGACACGCCTGTCTTCCAGGGCTTCAACAAACCCTCACGCATTGAAGGCGACATCTTCGACCTCGAATATAGTGGCACAATCCCGCCCGAAATTAATGGCACTTTCTATCGCGTTCAGCCGGACCACCGCTTCCCGCCCATCTTCGAAGATGACATTCATTTCAACGGCGACGGCAGCGTAACGGCAATCCGTATAAAAGATGGGCACGCGGATTTCAAGCAACGATACGTGCAGACAGATCGGTATAAGCATGAAACCTCCGCCAAAAGGGCACTATTCGGCCGGTACAGGAACCCGTTCACAGACAATGAGACTGTGAAAGGCGTCGTGAGGACAGCGGCGAACACCAACATAACGTTTTGGCGAGGCGTTTTGCTGGCTAGTAAGGAGGATGGTCCGCCATATATTCTGGACCCGGTGACGCTGGAGACGATCGGGCGGTATGATTTTGAAGGACAGATTCTGACCCCGACGTTTACTGCACATCCTAAATTCGACCCCAAGACGGGTGAGATGCTTTGCTTTGCGTACGAAGCAGGCGGCGATGGTCACGATGGGAGTAATGATATCGTGGTATGGACGATCGACAAGGATGGCAAGAAAACCGAGGAATGCTGGTACAAGGGGCCCTTCTGCGGAATGATCCACGACTGCGGTGTCAGCGAAAATTACATGGTTCTGCCCTTGACGCCGATCAAATGGACGGGGATGGATGCGTTGAAAAGCGGCAAGAATCATTGGGCCTGGGACCCAAATGAGGACCAGTGGTATGGCGTCGTGCCGAGACGGGGCGGCAAGCCGGAGGATATCAAGTGGTTCCGAGCGGACAATGGTGAGTACCTGTTGCGTACGCAAGACTCC